TTGTTTGAAAGTGTACTTCACTTATCATCTCATTAAAGAAATTCCACTGGCGGCACAACTCCACACCTCGGTATTGTGATCACTTTCAAATGGGAAAATCTCCCGAGGAATGCGGTGAACACGCTGCCAGAAGCCCACACGCAGGATTGGTCAGATATAAAGCGTATGCCATCATAACAAACTGTTTCCACTGGGCACAAGGGGGAAACATGTAAATGTGGAGCGTAAATGTTTGGCTTGTTTGAGAACACACATTTCTCGCCAAGAAGGTGGACGTGTTGTTTTCTCTGGGATCTAACAGATGTGTAATAGGATAAACGTATTATTTAACCAAAGATAGCAATTTTACCGCTTTTTACCATACGTGCAGAGGTGGGAGGAGTACTCAGATCTTGTACTTGAGTAAAAGTAGAAGTAAGTGTAGGAATACTCTGTAGTCCTGCATTCAAAATGTTGCTCAAGTAAAAAGTAAAACAAGTATTAGCATCAAAATATACTTTAAGTACCAAAAGTAAAATCCTCATTGTGCAGATTGGCCCATTTTAGAATTATATATATATGATATGTTTTATAATGATTGATCATTAAAGTGTTATCACAGCTGGTAAAGGTGCAGCTAGTTTGAATCACTTTGTCTGCTGCAGGGTAGCTTGTGAATGTACTCCAGGTGGAACTAAAGTCTGATTCAAGAGTTGATTATATTTCACATCATTCATCCAACTAAAGGTATTAAACAAATGTAGTGGAATCAAAGTACAATTGTCGTGCGATAGAAGTACACAGCAGCAAAACATTGAAATACTCAAGTAAAGTCCCTCAAAATTGTACTTAAGTACAGTACTCATAAGTAAATCCTACTTTACACCACTGCCTGTGTGGCATGCTTCTTCTTCTTCTTCTTCTTTTTTTAAGGGGGTTGCACCTTAAAAAAATACAGTCTTAAATACAACCACTTCCACCGATGTCAAGCTCAGGTTCTCATCAGAGGTGACAATGTTTGGCAGAGACACTATCTGGCATAACACTGCGTCTTAAGTGTGATTATGTCATTACCCTCTGATTGTGGGAGAGGAGATGAAAAGAATGTTAGAGAGGGAGGCGCGGGGGGCTAATCCTCGCCGAGGTGTTCCCTTTCAGGACCCTTTCTATGGGGCTTTGTGAGGGGCTTATAGGCATGCTGCCCCAGTTTTTCGGGGCCGCACCGCCCCTATCGGATGTCCCAGACACAGCGGAGTCAGACCGGGGCTTGTGAATGACAGAATCAATGGGCTGGGAAACAACATCGTCTTTAAATATCTGCCCACCTATAACTTTCCCAGGAGTTACATCATGGCAGAGGGACCCCAGGGCGAATAGTCAGAGGTGGGAGACGTACTCAGATCTTGTAAAGTAAAAGTAGAAGTACCAAACTGTAGGAATACTCTGTTTCAAGTCAAAAGTACTGCATTCAAAATGTTACTCAAGTTAAAGTAGAAAAGTATTAGCATCAGAATATACTTAAAGTACCAAAAGTAAAAGTAGTCATTGTGCAGATTGGTCCATTCCAGAATAATATATATGATATGTTTTATAATGATTGATCATTAAAGTCTTATCAAAGCTGGTGAAGGTGCAGCTAGTTTGAATGACTTTGATGCTGCAGGGTAGCTTGTGAATTTACTTCAGGTGGAACTAAAGTCGGATTCAAAATCAGAAACAGGTTTATTGCCAACGAGGTTTACACATACGAAGAATGTGCCTTGGTGTGTATATGGTGCACACATAAACACAGCTTGTAAGAAAAACAACCACACAGAAAATGTTAATTAAATAAAGTTAAGTGTAGTATTGTTATGAAAAGTGTTCCAAAAAAAAGTGTTTATTTAACATCTAGGCAAATCTCCAAAGTAACTAAAGGTATCAAATAAATGTCATGGAGTAAAAGTACAATATTTACCTCTGAATTGTAGTGGAGTAGAAGTAAAGAGAGTAGCAAATACTTCAAATACTCAAGTAAAGTCCCTCAAAATTGTACTTAAGGACAGTACTTGAGTATATCTACTTAATTACTTTACACCACTGCTTTGTATTAAGGTAAGTGTAACAATACTTCTTCCATCACTGTTGCTTTTAAATTTTCTACCTTTTGTTTTATAAAAGAATTCCCACTTTTCCGTTCCTCGCCATTAATATGTATAAGCTTGACACAAATTGAAATACTCAACAAAAGCACAAGTCCCTACAAATTGTACTTTAGTACAGTACTTGAGTTAAAGGTCCCCTATTATGCTGTTTTTCATCAATATATTACAGGTCTCAGATATATACAAATCATGTCTCTGAAGCGTTTGGCTCCAAACACCAAACAGATCTTTGCAGCATTACCCATAATCCCCTCTGTTTCAGCCCTGTTTCCAAAGTGCTGATTCTCTGTCTGTTACTTTAGATGAAAATAAGGAGCCCATCCCCACGCCCCTCTGAGAGAGATTTGGTTACAAAGAACTCAATGGTGCTCTAGGAGGAGATTCAGGTGATAAGGGGGGGGGGGGTTACCTTGGTTGCTGATTGGCTAATGGTTACTCAAGCCAAAACATCGTTATGACATCATAAAGTGGCCAAAATCTGATCAGCTCATTTTCAGACAGATTTTTATAGAAATGGATCAAAAAGAGAGAGAATCTTTGTTCCTGAAACTTTCAGAGTCTCTTTCCACAGAGGGGACACATGTTGATGTAGAAGAGACATGAAGAAGAGGGGACACATGTTGATGTAGAAGAGACATGAAGAAGAGGGGACACATGTTGATGTAGAAGAGACATGAAGAAGAGGGGACACATTTTGATGCAGAAGAGACATGAAGAAGAGGGGACACATGTTGATGTAGAAGAGACATGAAGAAGAGGGGACACATGTTGATGTAGAAGAGACATGAAGAAGAGGGGACACATGTTGATGTAGAAGAGACATGAAGAAGAGGGGACACATGTTGATGTAGAAGAGACATGGAGAAGAGGGGACACATGTTGATGTAGAAAAGACATGAGGAAGAGGGGACACATGTTGATGTAGAAGAGACATGAAGAAGAGGGGACACATGTTGATGTAGAAGAGACATGAAGAAGAGGGGACACATGTTGATGTAGAAGAGACATGAAGAAGAGGGGACACATGTTGATGTAGAAGAGACATGAAGAAGAGGGGACACATGTTGATGTAGAAGAGACATGAAGAAGAGGGGACACATGTTGATGTAGAAGAGACATGAAGAAGAGGGGACACATGTTGATGTAGAAGAGACATGAGGAAGAGGGAACACATGTTGATGTAGAAGAGACATGAAGAAGAGGGGACACATGTTGATGTAGAAGAGACATGAGGAAGAGGGGACACATGTTGATGTAGAAGAGACATGAAGAAGAGGGGACACATGTTGATGTAGAAGAGACATGAGGAAGAGGGGACACATGTTGATGTAGAAGAGACATGAAGAAAAGGGGACACATGTTGATGTAGAAGAGACATGAAGAAGAGGGGACACATGTTGATGTAGAAGAGACATGAAGAAGAGGGGACACATGTTGATGTAGAAGAGACATGAAGAAGAGGGGACACATGTTGATGTAGAAGAGACATGAAGAAGAGGGGACACATGTTGATGTAGAAGAGACATGAAGAAGAGGGGACGCATGTTGATGTAGAAGAGACATGAACAAGTTGCATAATAGGTCCCCTTTATTAATATACTTAGTTACATTACACCACTGGAAATAGTGTTAGTGAAGACACCCCCGGCCCCCCCTCAGTGGGGTGCGTCTCCATCAGACTTGAGGGTTGACACAAGGTCATCCTTCATAGCCTCTGCTTTAACAGGGCCAAACCAAGTCAAATAAACACCGGCAGCCACCTACAATGTGTTCTTACAGATACAAAGGAGACCTCACCGCGTGGTTTTGAGGCGGGGAAGGTTACGGTTGGAGGCCGGCGGCTGGTCGGAGCTGAGCGCTGGTATATAGGGCAGCGAAAAGTTATATGAGAATGCCAACATAATGGGTGGGCTAGAAGCTAAACAAATAGCCTGTTGGAAAACCCTCGCAAATATGCAACACCAGCAAGAAACCAATAAATAACAGGGGCCAACTGTTGCTGCTTAAAAAAATGAATTTGACCACTGTGATTCAGTTTTGCTGGAGGTTATTTTAAGGAAAACAACATTAGTTTTTACTTAGAGATGACTTTTTCCATTTTTCTCTCGGGAAACATTTTTATTTCTTACTTTTCAACTTGATTTATTTGGTTTATGATTGTATTTCCTGCTTATATAATGAATTGAACCACTTTAATGCAGTGTTGCTGTTTTTTAAGGAAAACAACATCGGTTTTTACATAGATTACTTTTTCCATTTTTCTCTCTGGAAAATAGCAACTTCTAGACTGAAAACCTTAGACACATTTCACATAACTGTATTAGGTTAGTTGAAAGCAATAATATTAAGTTGAACCTAATATCTTTTATTTAAACTTAATATTATTGCTTTCAATAACCTTGTGTGAAATCTGTTGACATAATACATTTGATTAAAGTCAACGTAACTGGTTAATTAATGATCTTATCTTATTGTATCTAATCTTATCTCCCTCTGCCTGATACTTGTAACTTTCCTACATCCTGATTTGTTCACTTAAGCCGGGAAATTGGTGTGAGACACCCGCGGCGCGCACTAATTGATGCATTGATCAGCCTTTAGATGTCCACATTCCTGGCATACCTCGGAAGTCATCCATTTGGCGTTTCACACATTTTGCTCCGTCTAACTGTCTGAAGCTTGACCCGGCAGGGCACACCTGTCTGTCCAAAGCTTTCTACCTTTGCCATCATTAATTTGCCTTGCATATTGCCTGTGCTGACAAGAAATCTGCACATATCTCACATTTCTGCAGCTTGACTCCAATTTCATCATAATGAAGAATGAATGTAATAGATATGCAACACGCTGAAATATCAGATTCATATTGAGATTTACCTTGACGCTTCCACCGACCTCTTCGCTGTTGGACATGGTAGCGTTGAAGGTCTCTGTCTGTTGTGGTGTGACCTCCTTTGGCCTTTTTCTCTCCTTCTTGGCATCCACCCCATGCAGAAGAAAACACTGAGTCCAAAACACTGCAGCCACCACGGCCAGAGGCCCAGCCCCACACCACATCTTCACACTCTGTCAAATCAGCACCAGAATCCCTGCAGAAACCGCCCGGATCTCCTGCGAAAGGACAAGCTGAGGATGCCCACAAGGCTCACAAACTCAGAGGAGACTGTAGGAATGCAGTTTCAGGGACTCCCCGTCCAAAAGACTGTCAGACTGACTGCTGCCGCCGCCGCTATCCCTCTTGATGAGTGCTCAGCCAGCGTTGCAGGGGCACTGTGTTATAACTCTAGCCAGAAAGCTAGGAGGCTTACTCAACTATGAAATGTGTCAAGCAGAATGGTCCAAGGGAATGACAGATCGGCGCAGATCTGACAGCAAATAAACCCATTAGTGAGATTTTTCACGCTTTCTGCTCTGTTGGGGGGTGAGGTGTAGAAGGAGGGAGGGAGTGGGGGGGTACAGGGGGCAAAAGAAGAGGCAGAGAGGAGGGGTTGTCCAAAAGCTGAGGGTGGGCTGGAGATGGATGGCAATATTCCCCCCTTTCCTGCTGTTTCTCACACTGAGCAGTGGATCCAGTCTCCAGTAAAGTTGTGTGGAAAAGCTTCATAAAAAAGTTGGCAATGTTCACCAGAAGTTGCAGATGAGTGTCCGAAAACCATGCACCCTGCGGGGGATGCAGAGTGAAGAAAAAGCCCAAGAGGAGATGATAAGGTCAAGTTTTGATCTTGTTCTGGAATCCTCACTGCAATCACAAGACTTTACAGAAAAAAATAACTTGTGCTAAATCTCCCACAATGCATCAAGCCATGTGCAAGTTTCACGTCAGAAAGCAGTGATTTGTTGTCTGGTAGCTCTCTGTTTCCTAGTCCCTCTGGTCTCAGTTGCTCCTCTGCTCCGACTGAGCTTACAGGAGGGCTCACAGTGGAGTTTTATCATCACCCTTTCTCCCCCTTCTCCCACTCCCTCTCTCTGTTTCTCTCCCTGTTGGCAACCTCACTGGCTTATTCAGCTCTGCTTTATCTCATAGGTGAAATGTTCACACAGAAGAGGTCCTTTGGCAGACAAGTTGTGTGTGTACAAGTTGTGTATCTGCCTGAGAGTGTCTGTGATTTGGGTTTCATATTTACCAAAGTCCTGTGTTTACATCCAGGCAAGAAATAGAAATGCACTTTTTTATGACCTCGAGGCATTATCTTGTGAAATCTGCTGCTTCAAAACCGTGCCAAACAACTCTGATCCTGCCAAATACAACAGTGTAAACATGTTTTGTTCTGTGTTGATGTTCAGCAAAGTCTCACTTTCTAAATTCTCTGTTAGGAAAAAAGGATTTGAGGTAAGTACTAATATTTAAAGTACTGTAAATTGCAGGTTATTAGAAAATAATACATGACTGATGTGGACAAATTATTGGTCTGGGTGTTCCTGCAATCAGCTCATTTGTCCAAAAGGAATTCCGCCCTGTCATACTTTTACTAGAATAAATAACATGTTAGCTACCAGGTTTTTTTTTTCACTTCACATCTTGCATGTTAAGACTGCGTTTTTCCTGCACTTGATATTATTAGATTTGAACACAGTGCCACCTAGAGGCAGCAGCCTGCAGTGCAAACAAATAAACAGTACCTTTCCAGTATGGCTCAATTCTCCATACTGCTGCAACCCTACTAGTTCCTGTTTCCGCTGGCACGTCAGTCAAAATTCCTGAAGCTAACCCCAGTCAAGTCTTCCACAGGTAAATTAGAACATCGGAAATGTTGGAAATTGTGAATATTTTCCTTCAAAATAAAATACATTCAGGTTGTTATGTTGAAATTGAAGTTCTGTAATGTTTCCAACTATTGCATGTTTTCTATTACAGCTCATGTGCTATTTACACCATTTATCCAAGTTTTTACTTTGTTAAGCATTTACCATAACTGTTAGGCCTACATATGTTTTCAACATGTGGGCTATTTATAACCTTACCATTTATTTTAAATATATATCCATTTGTTTTAGCAGTTTGGCCTTTAGCCTTTAGTCTAAGCTAATTATTCCATCTGTTTATCCATCACTTAAGCCTGTCATTAGCTATTTCAACCAGGTATCCATTGCATTTAGCTAAATATTTTCTGCATTGTGTTTGCCGTTATCTCACCAGTTATCTATTAGCCAACATGTTTTAGGCTATGTCAACCATTCACTTATATTCCCACATAAAACTTGGATACAAACTTGGAACTTCTTGAATCTTGTCTACATTGGTCAGCAATGGTTTTATTTTTGAAAGTGCCACCCGGAAGTTAAACATGAAATATGGTCACCTTACCAAACAAATATAGCTACATTAGCATCTAGCCAGGAACCGGTTCAACTGACAGCTTGTTCGAGTTAACGCCAACTGGAATATCTCAGAGGACTTTTTTTACCTCGCGTCTCTTCATTGGATTATTTAGACCCGACCCACATTGAGGTGGGGGAGTGTTTGTGGGGGGGGGGGGGAGAGCCACGTGTACAGGAACTGTTTCTGACAGCTGACTGGAAATTGCAGGTCTGTGACTGGGGAAGTACAGCTAACATTAGGCAGCTAGCTACCTCTAAACATACAGAGTCCTTTCAACTTTACTCACTGTATCGTTTGTTGGTCTTCCTTCTTGACAGGTTGGTCTCATTTTCTCTTTGTATACTATTCACATAATCCAGGTAGTGTTAACTTACCTTGTTTTGTTAGCTTGTGTTAGCATCTTTAGCCTAGATTCACATGCACTGCAAAATAATTCGTATGACGTCACGAAGCTAATCGTTGTTTACGTTAATTTACAGTTAATTGACTCAAGAGCACGCGACTAGCTGCTGGTATTGATTTAAGGTTACACACAATTACGTGAACTAAAGAAGTCAAGGTTTGACAGCTAAGTTGTGTTGCGTTCAAAGTACACGTCAGGTTTCCGTACACATCAATACGGACGCGTTCAAGTTGGTTGTTTACCTATTAAACTGAGTTATTTACAGTGAGTATTCAGATTCTTTATTTGAGTAAAAGTATTACTGTATTACTACAATGTAAAGATACTCAATTTCAAGTTAAAGTACTGCATTAAGAATGGTACTTGAGTTAAATTGAGTTTAAGGCAAGGCAAGTTTATTTATATAGCACCTTTCAACACAAGGCAATTCAAAGTGCTTTACAAAAAACGAAAGACATTAAGAAAATGGCATTTAAAATCAGTCATTAAAAAGAAAAAATAATAAAATAAACATTAAAAGAAAAAATACATGGATAAAAGTTACAGTGCAGTTTAAGATATGAATAGTTCAATTAAAAGCAGCGACAAAAAGAAAAGTCTTCAGCCTGGATTTAAAAGTAGTCAGAGTTGCAGCGGACCTGCAGGTTTCTGGGAGTTTGTTCCAGATATTTGGAGCATAATAACTGAACGCTGCTTCTCCATGTTTAGTTCTGACTCTGGGGACAGAAAGCTGACCAGTCCCTGAAGACCTGAGAGATCTGGATGGTTCATAATTTAGCAGGAGGTCAGAAATGTATTTTGGGCCTAAACCATTCAGTGCTTTATAAACCAGCAGCAGTATTTAGAAATCTATTCTTTGACACACAGGAAGCCAGTGTAAAGACTTCAGAACAGGAGTGATGTGATCCACTTTCTTAGTGTTAGTGAGGACTCGAGCAGCGGCGTTATGAATCAGCTGCAGCTTTCTAATAGATTTTTTAGTGAGACCTGTGGGACACCATTGCAGTAGTCGAGTCTACTGAAGATAAAAGCATGGACAAGTTTGTCCAAATCCTGCTGTGACATTAGTCTTTTAATCCTAGATATATTCTTTAGGTGATAGTAGGCTGATTTAGTAACAGTTTTAATGTGACTGTTGAAACTCAGGTCAGAGTCCATGACTACACCTACATTTCTGGCTTTATCTGTTGTTTTGAACATTGCACACTGAAGCTCAGCGCTAACTTTTATACGTTCTGCATTGGCTCCAAAAACCATTACCTCAGTTTTATCTTTGTTTAATTGGAGAAAGTTCTGACACATCCAGTCATTGATTTGTTCAATGCACTTACTCAGTGTTTGAATTGGAGCATAGTCTCCTGGTGAAATTGTTACGTAAATTTGTGTGTCATCTGCATAGCTATGGTAACTTATTTTGTTGTTTTTCATTATCTGAGCCAGTGGTAGCATGTAGATGTTAAAGAGAAGAGGCCCCAAGATGGAGCCTTGAGGTACTCCACATGTCATATTTGTCAACTCAGATGTGTATTTACCTATAGAAACAAAGTTTTTTTCAAACCAATTTAGAACTGTTTCCGAAAGTCCCACCCAGTTTTCCAGTCGGTCTAGTAATATGTTGTGGTCAACAGTGTCAAACGCAGCACTGAGATCTAATAATACTAACACTGAAGTTCTGCCACTGTCTGTGCTTGAGTGGATGTCATTGAAGACAGTACGATTAGGTAATTGTACTTAAAGTATTAGGGGTAAAATAACTCCTTCAAAATATGTTGGAGCAAAAGCAACAAATCTTCACATTTAAGAAGTTTGATCTGTGAAATATTTTTGACCATAAAAACGTCTGTTAACCCACTAATGGTTTGAGTGACTTTAATATAACGTTGGATGGTTTATCTATTCCAATATAATCATATATTTTTTAAAGGTTTTCCTAAGTAGTGTGTGTCAAAACCTGCATTTCTAAAGTAACCATTAACTACATCTGTAAAAATAAATGTAGTAGAGTAAAACGTACAAAATTGGCACACAAAGTAAAGTACCTCAAATGTGTACTTAAGTAAAGTACTTGAGTAAATGTACTCAGTTACTTCCTACCACTGGTTAGTTATGTTGTTATATGTGCTATAAGGCTGCCTCATTCTGCTTATCATACCAACATAGTTTTAGTTAAGGGTTTAAATGCAGTACTTTTACATGTAGTGGACTATTGTCACAGTGTGGTACAGTATGAGTACTTTGACTTCTTCCATCAATAAACGCCAGTATTACCCAAATGCCTGTCCTACTAAATGTGACTTTGCATATAAGATATAACAGTAGGCTCCTTTGTATATTCCTGGGTAATGAAAATATTGTGCTACCTTTGTTTTACAACATAATTCCCACTTTCCCAGTCCTCCAGAAAACATGCATAGAAAGGTTGAGTGAACGGGATTTTCCATTGGGCGGGATGCAATTTGGGAAAATCCCATTTGACAGGAAAGCAGCAATAAAGTCAGTTCAGTGTGTGAGGATATTGCATCATTATCTTTTATCATAGCTGACTTTGATATATACACAGTCTATGGTTAATACTAGTGTTGAGAAGATAACGCTTTATAAAGTTGTAGGGCTTCCACTCCGTTTGTCCAGAAAAATACAAGAAGATTTGGGGCCTCAAATTCAGCAAATAATTAGATCTGTTGGTTTGTAAAACGTTCAAAACTGGCCAAAACATTACAACTCCTTGCTCAAAACAAAAGCCAATGTTATCACTTCTGTCAAATGTAGATGGTACTTTCTAGTGAAACATGTCTCACTCAAATAATGCATCATTGAAAAATCCTACATGTAAAAGCCTTATGTAACATATTGGTGTAATGTATACCCAATGTCCACTGTGTGTGATTTTTCTTAAAGGTTTATATACGTTACATTTCATATTAGTGATGTTGTGATGGAAAACAATGTTTATTCAATTAGTGCATTTTTCTTTTTTACATGATTCGGTAACAGATAGATTTGCTTATGTTAAATGAATGCCGCTATAATTCTCATAAGTGACCTCTTTTCTTATCCTGAAAATGTAAGATCAATCAGGCCAGCTGTAAAACTTTCAAAATGGTCAAACTCTATGAAGCGCTTCCTGAAGCATTAGACATACAGATGTAGCACTCCAGATAGGACTCCACCCAGCGGATTCCAACCAAAAACCCAGCGGATCCCAGTGGCTGGGAGATGAAAGACCTCCCACTATTTCCTAAGAGGGCGTTGCCAAATGTGTTTATCCTCTTTAACATAAGCACCAACACATTGTAGCAGAACTGTTTGTTTAAAAGGAGTGAAGCTTTGTTATCATCTTCCCTTCACTAGTTGATAGCTTTATTTAACGACTTGGCTCACGTAACTAAACACTTGTTCCATCTTCAGGTAACTATGGCTGTCTGGAGGAAACTGTGGTGCAGGAACCTGCTGTCGGTGTCCCTGCTGCTCTGCGTCCTGCTCCTCACCGTAGACGTTAACGCACGGCCTGCCAACATGTCGGCGGTTAAAGAAAAGTCTCCGGCAGGCAAGGACGACAATGAGATTCTCCCCCCGGACCACCTGAACGGGGTGAAGATGGAGATGGACGGCCACCTCAACAAGGACTTCCACCAGGAGGTTTTCCTGGGGAAAGAGATCGAGGAATTCGAGGAGGACTCGGAGCCGAGGAGGAACAGGAAGAAGCTGATTGAGATTTTCACAAAGTAAGACATTCCGTCACAGTCAGGATTCAGCATTCCTGAACGAGACGCTTGTGCTGCAGAACGAGCGAGAGAAGGGAGTATTGTGGAATACAAAGTTTCACTTCAGAAAAAACACGAGGCAGTGCAACAGAGTAGCTGTATTTAAATGAAGAGCTGAAAAAAAACATTTAGTGTCTTTTTACAGGTTGTTACCGCCAAGATGAGATGAGTAAAAAGGCCTCTTCATATTTCTTTATCTAATATAGCGTGGCTAAACCAAAAAGAAACTCAATATTCAAACGACTTCTGAGTCAGCAGGTAGAGAATCTTACGCAGTGATAACTCCAATGTCAAGGCAAGTAAATAGTGCAGGTTATTCTCTTTCAAACGATTGTTTTGGTAAATAACCACGTGTGCCTTTCCCAATGATCCCTTCAACATCTACAAATATATGCCCAAATTCACGGTGCCCAAAGCTAGCTTCAGAAAAACCCATAATCAAACTAACTGAAATAATGATCAAATTGCTATACACAAACAACAGAGATAAAAACAAAAAAGGTTTAACTATTAAGTATTCCAAATCAATAAATAGCTTGATCTTAATTATTCGGTATGACTTAAAAAGCTTCCCCTCCCCTTCCTTATTCCCTTTATTTGACCTTAAATGGTAACGAAATGTTTAAAAGTATTAGAGCCTAACCAGTTCAAACAGAAGGACACAAGTCAGTAAAGCATATTGGTCATAACAGCTGATTTAAGTGTTAATGTTCAAGAACTTAACGCTACACTTACAGTTAATGTTTCTTTGTTATTCTATCTTCTCAGAGTTGATTCCAACAAGGACAAGAGCGTTAGTGCCAAAGAGATGCAGCGCTGGATCATGGAGAAGACGGAGGAGCACTTCCAGGAGGCCATGGTGGAGAACAAGAACAGTTTCCGTGGTGTGGACCCCGATGCTAACGGTGAGAGAGAAAACCCTCTTATCATTTAATGCACGCTGACTGTGATCAAATCAGGAAGTCAGGCTTCCCCGAATGAATGAATATGTTTCTGTTGAGTCAGAATTCATGCTTTGTCTTTAGGTCAAGTCACATGGGACGAGTACAGAGTCAAATTCCTGGCCAGCAAAGGTTTCAACGAGAAGGAAATTGCTGAGAAAGTGAAGAATAATGAAGATCTGAAACTGGATGAGGAAAGTAAGTATTCAATGATGTAAAATGTCGTCCTTCTTTTCAAGGATGTCCCAGAATATGTGCTGCAGATAGATCTCCAGGGAATACTTTAAGATGCTTTCCCTTGCCGTTGCAGCTCAGGAGGTTTTGGAGAGCCTGAAGGACCGCTGGTTCCAGGCCGACAACAACCCCAACGACCAGCTGCTGAACGAGCAGGAGTTCCTGTCCTTCCTGCACCCTGAGCACAGCAAGGGCATGCTGCAGTACATGGTCAAGGAGATTGTGCGCGACCTAGGTACGGTTTTACTAGACTAAATAATTGTTTGCCATTTGTTGGCAGTGGAAACCAACTGTTAAAAAGAGGGCGCTATTATGCTTTTGGAGATTTCCCTTTCCTGTTATATAGGTTTTTTTTACGCCTTCGTTTGACTCCTTTGTTTACTTCCCGAACATAGTGACATTACTACTGTATGTAATACTCGCACTTCTATTAGCTAGAAGCGCTCCAACACATTGTCTCTTAGCATTTGACCAATCACAACAGAGCCGTCCAGCTAACCAATCAGAACAGACTGGGCTCTGGTTTCAGACAGAGGGTGAAAAGAGGTGCTGCAGCACAGGCAGTATGAGAAAGATAAAGAGCTTTTTGAACATTAAAGCATGGAGACATGTCCCAGGAGAGACACTACATACAAATACATGTCTCCTTTAAGGTTGACATGGGGAAGTTGTTGGCTTATTTACACTCAGCAGATACAAAGGGCTATAAAGCTTTATTCAAATGCTGCACAGTTCCCTGTTTGTACTTGTGTAGTCACCCTGATCATCAGAGGTGCATACAAAGAGTAAATGTGTACTTAAACAAACTGTTCTCCAAGACAACCACCGAGTTATATGGTCCATTGGAAACATACAAAGATTAGATGCCTACTGTGTTTACATGCAGAGACATTTCTATCCTCATAAGGTGGCCTGTGTGGTGTGTGTGGTGTGTGTGTGTGTGTGTGTGTGTGTGTGTGTGTGTGTGTGTGTGTGTGTGTGTGTGTGGTGGTGTGTGTGTGTGTGTGTGTGTGTGTGTGTGTGTGTGTGTGTGTGTGTGTGTGTGTGTGGTGTGTGTGTGTGTGTGTGTGTGTGTGTGTGTGTGGTGTGTGTGTGGTGTGTGTGTGTGTGTGTGGTGTGTGTGTGTGTGTGTGTGTGTGTGTGTGTGTGTGTGTGTGTGTGTGTGTGGTGTGTGTGTGTGTGGTGTGGTGTGTGTGTGTGTGTGTGTGTGTGTGTTGTGGTGTGTGTGTGTGGTGTGTGTGTGTGTGTGTGTGTGTGTGTGTGTGTGTGTGTGTGTGTGTGTGTGTGTGTGTGTGTGTGTGTGTGTGTGTGTGTGTGTGTGTGTGTGTGTGTGTGTGTGTGTGTGTGTGTGTGTGTGTGTGTGTGTGTGTGTGTGTGTGTGTGTGTGTGTGTGTGTGTGTGTGTGTGTGTGTGTGTGTGTGTGTGTCTTCAGCTGTTACAGCTTTTGGCATGGATTTGTGCAAGAAGTCTTTTGAGTCAAATTTTTTTAAATCCATTGTCGTTTACTCTTACATGTTTTGTATACTCTCGTGATGCATTTTGCACCCTCTGGACCCCTTCGTGGCAAAAATGTACACGCTCATAAAAACTGCTATTAAATCATACATCAATATTTTTTAAAACTTTTTTTTCGATGAATCACTTGAACAACTTCTCAAAACTACCAAACATTCAATAATTTTCAGGATTTTAACCCTTTAAATGCCTGTTTCATTATTTGAATTATTTAATTTCTCTTAATTCTCTAAATGTCTTTGAGTTCCTCTGACCCTTCCTCTGAAAGTGGAGAGGACATTGAATGCCGTCCACAGTGAGGGGACAGAGAAGAACGGAGGTCGTTCTCCCAGGAGCTGGAGAAAACCAGGGTGTCCTCACAGATTGTGAGAAGAAAGCCCCCCGTGGTGGTGGATGGTGGGCCGGACCGTCAGTGTCCTCTCCACTTTCAGAGGAAGGGTCAGAGGAACTCAAAGAAATGCTGGACTCCAGAGAGCATTCAGTGTCAGACCCCCCTCGAACCTTGTGTCTTCTTCAGATGAGTCCTGCAGCTCGCTGGCAGAAGAAGGCTACAAGATTACTTCTGAAGTCTCCTCTGCACTGAAATGCTTCTTCATTTGAGTTCCTTCTCTTTGCTCCAGGTCTTTCTCCTTCTCTGCTCACTAAAGAAATAAACCCTTGGTCAAACTGCATGTTTATCTTTGGCAGCCAGGTGCATAAACACACTAACAGTTGTTTTTTGAGTAATCAAGCAGCTCTTCAAAGACACATCAAACACATCCCTCAAAAGATGGCCTTTTTTCCCATGGAATGATCCGTGCATGCTTACAGATTCTCACAGACACACACACACACACGCAGACACACGGAGAGGGAGGAGAGGTGTGTGCTGGTTGTGCACAGGCCTACAAAATTGTTGTTCTATCACCTGAGAGAGCACCAGGTCACATGCTGCAGGACCTGCTGGTCTGCTGCTGGAAACGACACACACACACACACACACACACACACACACACACACACACCACACTCTCTGGGCCCCCTGGTAGTCACACGGCTCCATAATATAACTGGCAAAAATGTAAGAATTCCATGCATCGGCCTCCAGTGGGAAAATGGTGTAATCTGTTGGAATAGAGTAGAAATATCAAATATCACTACTTGCCTTCTAAATGAAATGCTGACATTACAAAATGCATGGTTTTATACTGCAATGGCAGTGGGATCAACAAATGTGGTCTGAATGGAAGTCAATGAGGCATTTTTGAGAGAAATTAAATAATTAAAATAATGAAACAGGCATTTAAAGGGTTACATTCCTGACAATGATTGAATGTTTGGTAGTTTTGAGTACGTTAGAAGTTGTATTATAATGCAGTGAAATCAATTTTGTTGCTAATCTTTGACACATCCAAGACTCTAATAACCACCAAAGTTCCGTCCCTCTACTAATTATTATATTGAAAACAAATTCATTTGTGTTTTTTTCATAAATAATGAAATGATTAAAATAATGAAACCGGCATTTAAAGGGTTAAAATCCTGACAATGATTGAATGTTTGGTTTTGAGCACCTTATAAGTTGTTTAAGTGATTCATGGAAAAAAAAAAAGTAGAAAGAAATATTGATGTATGATTTAATAGCAGTTATTATGGGCGTGTACGTTTTTGCCACGAAGGGGTCGAAAGGTTGAAATTTCGAGGAGGATTTTTTTTTTTTGCACAAAAAACACGCTATATACAACGCGGCAATTTGGCCTCAGAAAGGACAGCATGAAGTGGCGGGAACATTAGTTATGTGGTATGTGAGCGGCAACTAATGATTGTTTTTCATTGACATTTATTCCTCAGAGCAATTTCATTTGTTGAGGAATTATAAAATGTCCATCAGGAGTTCCCAGAGTTTAAAGGGACATTTAAAAGTCCTTGTTATTGTCTGAATAACAGTTTTAAACACAAAGCCTACAAGTTTTCTATCATATGAAATGAAAAAAATCTAAAATATCTTCACATTTTAGAGCCTGAAACATATTTGATTCTTTTTGAATTATTATCAGAATTAGTGCTGATGAATGTTCTGGTGATGATCCACTTTCATTCAAAGGAAAATGCCCGTTATTGGAGCATTTCCATAAAAACATGGTGATGAGCAGTAGTAGATAATGTCACTATGTGCAGATGTGTTTGTATATTTGAATGTACCTTACTTGATGTGTATTTGGATAAGCAATCCTCTGTGATTGGGCCTATTATGAATGCATGTGTAGGGTTAACAAAAGGTCAGATATCAAATGTGTATTGTTTTCTGCGTGCAGACCAGGACGGAGATAAGAAGCTGACGCTCTCAGAGTTCATCTCGCTGCCTGTGGGCACCGTGGAGAACCAGCAGGCGCAGGACATCGATGACGACTGGGTGCGGGAGAGGAAGAAGGAGTTCGAGGACGTCATCGACTCAGACCGGGACGGCATCGTAACCATGGCCGAACTGGAGGTGAGGGATGAAGAGGAGAAAAGTCTTAAACTAAAAACACAGCTCACTGGAGTTTATGATGATTGTGTTACTGGTAGTAAAAACACTGTCACTCCAAATAAAGAATTACAAGGAAATGAAATGTCAACTTCCCAAAACAAAGAAAGGGTTGCATGTGACTGTTCTTAAGTACACTCCCGCTCTAAGGCTAAGCAAACAGACACTTAGATCAAACAAAAGAAATGAAATTAAAAAAGCAGACGTCTCTGTTAGTTTGAGCCTCAGAGTTAAAGCGCTTCTATTGGCTAATGCTCAAACACAAATACGTGATAAGCTAAGGGGCGGGACATCTCTAAGCGGTTGACCAATCCCAACAGAGCCAGCCAGCTAACCAATCAGAGCAGACTAGGCTCTGGTTTCAGACAGAGGGTGAAAAGAGGTGCTGCAGCACATTAAAGCATGGAGACATGTCCCAGTAGAGACATGCTGATATAGCATTATAGGCCCCTTTAAGATTTCCATTACTGTAGCTATTGTGCAAGCCTTTGAATCTTGAATCACTTTCTCAATATAATTATTGTTTTTACATTTTGTCTGACGTTTCAAAACACTGTCTGTTATTATTAAGTTATCAGCAAGCACTCGTAAAACTCCATAATCAACTTATAATTGCCATTTAATTTCAGATGTAATAGAAATAGTTCTGGATTACTTACTTCCCCTTCCTTCTCCCGTACAGGAGTACATGGACCCGATGAACGAGCACAACGCTCTGAACGAGGCCAAGCAGATGATTGCCGTCGCAGACGAAAACCAGAATCACAATTTGGAGCTGGACGAGATTCTCAAGTACAGCGAATACTTCACGGGCAGCAAGCTCATGGACTACGCCAGGAATGTTCACGAGGAGTTTTAGAGACAGTGAACCCCCTCTCTAGCGGCTTCAGAGACATGCCAGATGGGGAAGTAGCTAATCATGGGATGTTTTAGTGTGCAGCCCTTTCAGATCCAATAGAGCGGTGCAGGGATGATGGATTTTTTTAGGCTGACGTTTTTTCCATTGGATTTAGGAATATTGCCTAAAATAAGATCTTTGGCAAACACACGTTAATCTCCACATATTTACACCACTTTGATGATTTATGTTTTTAAGCGTAAATGCAATCGCTGGAAGAAAAACGCTAACATTAGGATATAAACAAACATCAAGGTCTCATGACAGCATATTAGCACCGCTAAGCTAACCGTCGCTAATGTGCGTCGTGATGACGTTAAGTAGTCGTTTTAATCACTTTTGTCTGACATGGCGGTTCCTAAATTGGCCATTTATTTAATGTATTGGAGCAAAACCTGAACATCTCATGCTTTTTTTTTAATCACGAACCTTATTTCTAACCAAAAGCATGTTAAGAGAAACGTTGAGTCAGAGACGAGGGAACCAGAAGGGGTCAAATAAATGAAACTAATAACCTAGAACTCATTCCTGCACCACTCTATGAAAACACCCATCAGCCCTGGACTGCCAGCCAATAAAGTTAATATGGTTTGTGAGACTTTAAATGTTAGGCCCTAAATCTAACTGTATTTGTGTGAAATGTGTGTGTGAGAGATTGTAACCCCTAATAGACGCTTCGTTCCTGATGCAGTTGGGAGACTTCGCCTTCATGTTTATTCTGCAGGATCTGCCTCCTTTCTTTTTTCTGGCGAGTCTGTACACTGTAAATATTCAATTGTAACAACGCCTCTATCGCAGAGAGAAGCTGAGTAAATATATTATTAATGCTGCTAAGAGGACACACATTATAGAGATGCTATGAAAAACAAACTGTTTATTGTTGACGCGCAGATTTAATCCCCCAAAATAATTTTTTTTTTTTTACAACTCTGCTAGTTTTCATTGTAGATAATATCCGTCCTACTTATAAACAGGGTAAAAGTACAGATGTATAGCTTTTAAAAGTTATAAAAGCCTCAATGATGTACAGTGATCCTGCTCAGCACATGTTTTCATCAACAGTTGGCGTTCAGAGTAATATATGAGAGCAGTGTGCCTTTTTCCCAGCAGACATGTTGACCTATTGCAGTGTGTGAGAGGTCAAAATGTCCCCTGTGTGTAAAGGCCTATTGTTTTGTTCTTCATTAAAAAGCTTAATTCATGCTTGTGTTCAGATGTAGATAAAGAGGAATGTATTTATTTGGAGAGCTATCTTTGAGTATCACAAGTTGGTTTACAAAGAACGGGTGCTCCTTCTTCATCCTGTTTGATCTGTTGACTAAAATGTGAAATCTTTTGGTTAATTCACTTGTTTCAAATGCATGGACAATGTTTTCACATGTCTAATAAATTCAGCTCGGATCACACTGTCCTCGGCCCTGTTTGGATTGTAAAATAAGATTTATGAAAACAGAATGTGACACAGCTTTATAAAAATGTATTGCAATTACTGGTAAACAATAAATATGTCTTATTAATTAAATGAAGCTCAGCGCAAGTTCTTTCAGGGAGACTGTTTCCCACGCTCTCATTCACAATTCTCTCTCACTCGCCCTTCCTTCAATAAGCAAGGGCGTCATACCCAGTGTTCGAATTACCTATTTGCTTTCAGGGGAGCCCTATTTTATTCAGGGCCCTCGTGTGGAGCTGTCAAACTCGACCCTAACGCCGCTTACAGCTGGCCCACTAAAAGACAAGTTGTTCCGTTCACTGCGAGGCTTGGCTGTTTTCGTTTCACCATATTTTTTATTACAAAGCCAGAGTTAAAAAAATATCAATAGGCCTATGAACATTTCAAATACCGCGCCGGCATCGCTGCCGTAACCATAAGTAGCGTAAAGAATCCAGCGCCTCCACGTACAGATGGCAACACCCAGAAATATGAAACAAATATTCAGAAACTAATGATGAACAATGACTTATTTATTTCAAGAACTTTTATTTACAGAAACTCAACATTTCTAATCTGTGTGACACAAATATGCACAATTTTGTTGGGCTCCCCCTATTTATCTCAAAGTCGGCCTTCAGGGGAGCTCCCCCTTCTTTAGGAGAGCCAAGCTCCCCCTGGCTCCCCCCCATTTCGAACAGTGGTCATACCCCCAGAGTAGACCAATCAGTCCCGTCACATCCCCCACAAGCAATCACAGCACACCCGGCAAACGTTTAAATCTGCTCTTCTCTCCCTCGCCAGCAGCATTCAGAGAATTGATGCAACCCTCCTTCACCTCCAGTCATCAGACCCAGAGCCAGAGTAGCCCTGAAGAACCCTCATCATTAAGGACCTGAATTCCCCTTCAGCACTTCACCACCACCAGTGTCTAGACCCCGCGGGGGGGGGGGGGGGTTCTTTTTTCCTAGTCGACTTCTCCTGCCCCCTAAATCCATCACAGTGCGATGGGGTCTAATCTCCAAAATGTATATTACCCCGAGGGCAATAAATATGCTATCAAACTCACGCAATAAGTCTCTCCGGATTGAAATAGCACCTGGTGTTTGTTTTCTGTTTTAGCTGCAAGTAATGATCGCTTTCATCACAGATTGTTTGGTCAACTAAAGGTCATTATTAAATGTACATATATTGGTAGAAAAAGTACCTTTTATTTTATTTTGTATTATTTATTCTACTATTTCAACAATTCGGACAGTTTATGCATCTAAAAAACAAACGATATTAGTATAATTTCTAGTAAAATTAGCAACAACACAGTATAATAAGACTTACTTATTATTCATACGTAATAGTATCAAAATATACCTAAGAGGACCAAAAGTACAAATCCTCACTTTTTTTTGTTAAATTCTGAATTTTTTTTATTATGACCTTTTTTCGAATTCTGACTTTTTTGAATAATCTGATATATTTCAGATTTCTGATTTTCTCAGACTATTTTTTCAAATTCAGATTTTATTTCGAAATCTGATTTTTTTATAATCTCATATATTTCAGAACTCTGATTTTCTTTCAGACTTTTTTTTCGAAATCTAACTTTTTTATTTTGACTTTTTTTCTAATTCTGACTTTTTTTTTTCTAATTCTGACTTTTTTTTAATTCTGACTTTTTTTTCTGAATTCTGACTTTTTTTCTCCGAATTCTGACTTTTTTTTAATTCTGACTTTTTTTTAATTCTGACTTTTTTTTCTGAATTCTGCCTTTTTTTATAAACTGATATATTTCAGAATTCTGATTGTCTTTCAGACTTTTTTTCTCGAATTCTGACTTTTTTTTGTTAAATTCTGAAAAAAAAGATTATTCTGACCTTTTTTGAATTCCAACTTTTTTTCGAATTCTGACCTTTTTTTATAAACTGATATACTTTCTAATTCTGGCTTTTTTTATAAACTGATATACTTTCTAATTCTGGCTTTTTTTATAAACTGATATACTTTCTAATTCTGGCTTTTTTTATAAACTGATATACTTTCTAATTCTGGCTTTTTTTATAAACTGATATACTTTCTAATTCTGGCTTTTTTTTTAAACTGATATACTTTCTAATTCTGGCTTTTTTTATAAACTGATATACTTTCTAATCCTGGCTTTTTTTATAAACTGATATACTTTCTAATTCTGGCTTTTTTTATAAACTGATGTACTTTCTAATTCTGGCTTTTTTTATAAACTGATATACTTTCTAATTCTGGCTTTTTTTTTAAACTGATGTACTTTCTAATTCTGGCTTTTTTTATAAACTGATATACTTTCTAATTCTGGCTTTTTTTTTAAACTGATGTACTTTCTAATTCTGGCTTTTTTTATAAACTGATGTACTTTCTAATCCTGGCTTTTTTTATAAACTGATATACTTTCTAATTCTGGCTTTTTTTATAAACTGATATACTTTCTAATTCTGGCTTTTTTTTAAACTGATATACTTTCTAATTCTGGCTTTTTTTATAAACTGATATACTTTCTAATCCTGGCTTTTTTTATAAACTGATATACTTTCTAATTCTGGCTTTTTTTATAAACTGATATACTTTCTAATTCTGGCTTTTTTTATAAACTGATATACTTTCTAATTCTGGCTTTTTTATAAACTGATATACTTTCTAATTCTGGCTTTTTTTATAAACTGATATACTTTCTAATTCTGGCTTTTTTTATAAACTGATATACTTTCTAATTCTGGCTTTTTTTATAAACTGATATACTTTCTAATTCTGGCTTTTTTTTTAAACTGATATACTTTCTAATTCTGGCTTTTTTTATAAACTGATGTACTTTCTAATTCTGGCTTTTTTTATAAACTGATATACTTTCTAATTCTGGCTTTTTTTATAAACTGATGTACTTTCTAATCCTGGCTTTTTTTATAAACTGATATACTTTCTAATTCTGGCTTTTTTTTTAAACTGATATACTTTCTAATTCTGGCTTTTTTTATAAACTGATATACTTTCTAATCCTGGCTTTTTTTATAAACTGATATACTTTCTAATTCTGGCTTTTTTTATAAACTGATATACTTTCTAATTCTGGCTTTTTTTATAAACTGATATACTTTCTAATTCTGGCTTTTTTTATAAACTGATATACTTCTAATTCTGGCTTTTTTTATAAACTGATATACTTTCTAATTCTGGCTTTTTTTATAAACTGATATACTTTCTAATTCTGGCTTTTTTTATAAACTGATATACTTTCTAATTCTGGCTTTTTTTATAAACTGATATACTTTCTAATTCTGGCTTTTTTTATAAACTGATATATTTTCTAATTCTGGCTTTTTTTATAAACTGATATACTTTCTAATTCTGGCTTTTTTTCTGAATTCAATTTTTTTTCTGACTTTTTTTGTAATTCTGACCTTTTTCAGAATTCTGACTTTTTTCTCTCTAATTCCTTGTTTTTCGAATTCTGACTTTTGTTTTCTTAACTTTTTACTTGTTGTCGAAAAACAAATTCACTTTTGGTCAGATCTAAAAAAAAAGGGCCATTTATCTTTCAGCTTTACACCCAAATCTGTCTCGTGTATAGATACTAGTGAAGCAGCTCTTTGCCATGCCTTTCTTTCAAGAACAGCATGTTAAGAAATGATAAGTTGATTCTGTGAGTTAGAGATGTATGGCTGACGGTTAGGGACACGTTTTTTTGAAAAATTCCGAACTCTATGATTTTCGGAAGTTTTCAGAATTTTTTAGAGAATTCTGACTTTTTTTTTAATACTTTCTTTTATTCTGACTTCTTTTCGAATTCAGACCTTTTTTTTGTTAAATTCTGTTTTATTCTTTCCTTTTTCGAATTCTGACTTTTTTCTTCGAATTCTGACTTTTTTAATTCTGACTTTTGTTTTCTTAACTTATTTCAAAATTCTGACTTTTTTTCTGAGTTTTCTCAGATCTAAAAACAAATACACTTTCGGTCAGATCTCAAATGAAAATGTCACGTGGCCCTAATCCTCTTCCGTAGTGATGCAAGGGTAGGATTCTGTATTTCATTAGGATGTACAGTATACTGTATGAGTGTGTAATTTGAAAACAATCCTTCAGTTTAATCATCAATGAGTCTCAAATTCTGTTTTGAGAATATTTTATTGCGTATATACGGGTTAAGGTCCATTGAGTGTTTTATGTAACGTAGCACTCCACAACACAGCAAAAGCCACCATTTCACCAAACCAATGATTTGTTTATAAGCAGTTACACATTGAACATCAATTTGTATTTTTATATATCGTCTTTTTCTCAGATTTTTTTCACAATTTTAAACGCATTAGCTTGGATGTGATAGTGTGATGCCCGATCAGATTTTGATGCACACATTTTAATATCACAGACATCACTTCACAAGACACAGGTTTAACAATTTACCAATATCCTTAATGTGTTTGTCCCACAAATTAAATATAACATGTATATTTGTCTGCAAGCGACGATGAAAATCAATGCAGATGCAGTTTGTACGCATCTCTCCTGAATGCTACTCCATGTCAGAGCCATGCAACCTTAAGAATACATTTAAAACTGTAATACCACACCCTATATAATGTTATGTCCTAAACATATACATATAATCAAGTATATAGCCAGCACTAAAACATAATTAACATGGAAAACATTTGAAGAACATTATCAGACTTCCTCCAGATACAGATAAAACACACACACATGTTCATAAATGAAACTTTAAAACGCCTAACGTATCACAATCTGCTGACATTAAAGTAAAACAACAATCAAGAAACGGATTAAACAGGTAAGGCGATTGGGTGTCTGACTTAATATAGATTACAATAGAGATACAAATTAATAATAACATTTTTGGACAGCACAGCAAGTAGTCAAGTTCCAGTTTCTCCTCAACACTTCTCTCTCAAATAAAATAAAAAAATGGGGCTCAACATGTTCGCAAACTACCAGGAATAGTAGAATTGCAGCTGTATGATTAGTCCCTTAACATTTAGGGACTTTGTACAAAAAAGGGCTACAATTCCTACTTGCTTCATCTGGTCTGTGTGTAAACAACCTTCAATTAGAGCCAAACGTCAGCACTTTAAGCTTATACTTATTGTTTAATTGTAAAATCTAATGTATTGGAGTGCAGAGCCAACACAACAACACATCTGTAAATAAGTAGATACTTGCCGACTGCACTGTAACTGTTAACTGGCTGTATGTATGCAACACAAAAACACGAAAACGTTGGAAAAGATTTTAAAACAGACCATGATTAAAATATAAATAAATTAAATGTTTAACGAAGTTTTAACACATTTTAAGATAATAAGATGCGTTTACAGAAAATGTCAAATAAGCCGCTTGTGCTCGTCTCTAGTCTCGGTCATTTGGTGTTTACAGGTAGGGGAACTGGTTGAGTTTTCTCTGGTAAGTAGCACTGGCGTGGTGAAAAGGCGGCACCCCCTGCTGGAGGCTTTGGTTACCGTACTGTGCCGGAGAGACCACCAGGCTGCCGGTCTTCTGCAGCAGCGCCAGGGAGGAGAAGGCCCCCCCGACCCGGCCCCCCTGCATCTGGTCCACAGCCTGCGAGACGGAGGCCAGGGCGGCGGAGGCGGGGTAGGCGTACAGGTTGGGGGCGGAGCTGAAGAGGGGGTTCTCGTGGAGCAGGAAGGACGAGTGGGAGGAGACGGGAGGAGGGTAGGTGGGCTGCCTCCTCAGGATGATACTGCTTCCTGTTGGGTCGAGGGAAGATGACATCACAGACTGCTGTACCTGAAACCACAGAGAGAGGGTTTGGTGTTCTGGGGTTTTTTTTGTAAGAAGGGGCAGGTAAAATAAGATGTTCTTCTCCCTGCTCCTTTCCACCATGCGCTATAAAAAAAAAAACAGTATAAGTGTACATGTCTTGTTTTAAAATAACTGCCATGTGTGGAATAAACAAATACATTTAAAAAAGGGTCAGAAATACTCCCACTTCAAGTCACAAAGCTACTGGTGTGATGTACTTCAGGTGACTGCAAGAAGGCTGAAGGTTCTCAGAGCATTTCATTTTATAATGTTCATTTCTGTTGGTTAGTCAGTCCTAAATCCAGCCTACATGAAAAACTGTTGAACTATTCTTTCAACTTTACCGAACTGAAGTGCTTGAGTGATGTCCCTGAATACATCAAAGCAGTTACCTGACTGAGGTTGAGAGGCTGAGATCTGCTGGATGTGTTTCGTTGATGGCGGTCAGTGTTGGAGTCTCCGGTCCGACTCGACGCTTTCTTGGATTTCCCAGAGCCACTTGTAGCTTGATCTACGAGTGGAAAAACAAAAACCAAAAAATACTGTGAGTTCGAACAAAGGATTAGCTTACATGTGCTTCAGGTAAAGATGATCAGTCTAACTTGTTAATTGAGCTGAGCTGATTATTAATGCACCTTAAATTGATCCATTGAGGCCACTTCATGCAATAACACCTGGTTAAATACAATAAGAATGAATAGATATACTGTATTAAAAAAACAAAAAATAGCTAATTCTGCGTAAAGTAAATTATTTTCCAAAAATCTTTCACTAGATGTGACAGTGATGAAATTAACGACTATTTAACAAGTTACATCTTCTCCACAAAAAGGCACCAAATCAAAGGACCTCCTGCTCCTAATCTCACTCAAATAAATCTCGAAATAAAAATGCTCTAGGTTACTGGAGAAATACAATTTGAGCTGTGTCTTCTTTTATTCACACTGAAGCACCTCCACAATGTCAATATGATTTGTGTGTGTGTGTGTCGCTCAGTCAGTAGGGGCTTGGACTGGGAGCTGTAGGGTCGCCGGTTCAAGTCCCCGACCAGAGTGTGGACTGCTACTTGGAGAGGTCCCAGTTCACCTCCTGCCCTGCCGTGGTGCCCTTGAGCAAGGCACCGGACACCCCCCTTCCCCCCTCACCCCCATTGCTCGCCGGGCGCTGTGCAATAGCTGCCCACTGCTCGTAGTACTAGACTCCTGGTACTAGATGGGTTAAAAGCAGAGAACACATTTGTGTGCTCTGCATGTGTGACCTTTAAAGAGGGTCTCATCCCTCCGATTCTATCATGCAGCTAGTATCTAAATCTCACCAGCAAAACATTTGATATACGAGACCAATCACTGCATAAAGAATAACGTGCAATTACGTATCTGCCACTACTAAATAACAAATGTGACCGTCTGTTTCCTGTTAGTGTACAGTTTTATTATTATTATGCTGCTGTGTTTATTGTATTTTTTAGGGCTGTACCCGAATATCCGAATATTCGTTCGTTGGAGTACTATTCGGGTTTCAATTTCGTTATTCCGTTTTTTTTGCACTGCGGCTGCAAAATGTAATTGATTGAAAACTCCAATATCAACGTAAGAGCTTGTGCCTCTTCGGGGGGGCTAACACTTAACCATAAACGTTATCGTTTTCTCCGTCTTTATATGTAGATATCACTTTTTCTCCGTTAATCTTCGTCACGTTGTTTCCATAGCAACAACAACTTCCTGTCAACAGCGCTACCTCTCCTTCAAAATAAAAGCATGTCCATACAAAATAGGAAGCCAAGCCAAATTACACGTAAGACATATACAACTGCAACGAAAGTAACAAACACAATGCGATATCCTTTTCAATTTCAAGAACACAAATTGGGTTACATTAACAAATAACTATAAAACAACAATACTGTAGAATAACAAAATGAATGTCGTGAATAAACCGAAATACACGTGTTGAAGCGGTTCGCTGCTGATTACTACGCACCCCCCCCGCGTGCGCAGGCCGAATATTCGCTGCTGATTACTGACCCGAGCTCTCCCCCGGCTGGCTCTTCACAGACGGCACGATGACGGCCAGAGGCTGGGTGGGCTGCGGGGGCGTCTTGGTGCTCAGAGGGGGGGTCTTTGTGCTCAGAGGGGGGGTCTTGGTACTCAGAGGGCTGCTGGTGGAGGAGTCCGAGTCATGCACCGTCACACAGCTGATCACGTTGGTCCGCTGGCTCGTTCCAGAGCTGCAGGAGAGGGAAAAAACGATAATACGATAATATTGGTCAGATCAAGTCTGAAATTTGACTCATCACAGCAGCTCCATGTGTAACATCAACATAGACACATATCAAGACACAATACATGAAAAACAAACATTGCATTTGATCTGGGATTCAGCTCTGTATTTACCGTGAGGATTGACTGATGCACAAAGGATGCTTCAGTCTGACTTTATTGAATCGTTATTTACAAATAAAGGTGTAAAAATAACAATTTCAGCTAAAACCTCTCAGAGACAGGAAGTGAGCTCACCAGCCAGCGGGGAACTTCCTGTCGTCCTCGTCCTCCGAGTCGCTGTGGATGGTGATGATGCTGACGGCGGGGCTGGGGGTGTCGGAGATGATGATTGGCTGAGACTGATCACCAGCAGGAGGGTTCTGGAGCACAGTGGCCGACGACACAGGCCTGCAGGGAAGAGGATTTTTTAATAAATATGTTTCGAAGATAACTTTTTCTTTCGTGAAGCACCTTGAGATTACATTGTTTTTTTAAGTGTGCTATACAAATAACATGTATTATTATTATTAAGATGCTCACTGTTTTATTGCAAATATTTATCTTATTTATCTTATCGTATCTGCCACCTATTTATGTTGCTTCAAGCTACTGTTATATTACCATTGTTATAAATATATAAATACTCAAACACGAGTAAAAAGACACTTTTTGGGACTATTTTCAGAGGCAGATTAATCTAATAAGTACTTGGGGCACCAGTATAGTGTATGTGGGGTTATTTCTAAATAAACTACCCTTTGTGTGTAATTTGTAGTGAAATAACATTTCACCCAGATCAACAAAGTGGTTTTTGAACGACAATGGAGCTCTATGTCTCAGAGGAATGTTAAATATATGGCTTTGATACACGGACACAATTGTTAGTAGTAGTTAGTTGTATCAGTTAACTGTTGGTTTTGGTATTACTATTGGAAACTTCAATTCTTCACAATTTGCTGACTGCAGGATAAAGGTTTAATGGATATCACTGCAGCCCATTGAACAAGTAGATATGAAGCCAGGTAACAGACCACCACCACTACAATTTATGGACCCCCCCCCCCCCCCCCATGGAGATGATGATGGATGTAAGGCAGTGTGACAGGAGACCTGGCTCTGCTCTCTGCGTGTCGAGCCTTTGCCCTCTTGCCCTGTTGGGGTCTGGAGGCAGCGTGGCTTTGGGAGGCAGCGTGACCGACGCCATCGAACTGGCTGCCATGACGACCCCTGAGAGAAGGACGGACACACGTTATTTATCTTAAACTGCATCTATGACTGACTGACCTCACAGAGATACATTTTCTTTTAAGTTGTAATAATACAATGACCTGAAGGTGTGTTTTAACATACAGAATGAAGTCCTATGGATTAAACTCACCTCCAGCCAGAGCCTTGTTGACTGTCGGAGGCCCCCATGGGGGGGTCCGGCACCACGTTCTGCCCCGGGTTGTGGAGGGCCATGCCGGGCATCTGCTGCCAGGTGGAGGGGATGAGGATCTGCTGAGTGCCAGCTGGCCAGCCCTGCAGTACACACGTACACACACACACACACACACACACACACACACACACACACACACACACACACACACACCACACACACACACACACACACACACACACACACACACACACACACACACACACACACACACACACACACACACAACACACACACACACACACACACACACACACACACACACACACACACACACACACACACACACACACACACACACACACACACACACGTTCAACTATTACAAGAACCCTAAAGTTCAGGATTTAAACTTTAGGAAATAAAGAAAATACATGTTCAGGTTTAGGTTCTTGCAAAGCCGTAAAGATAAGGTCCAGAAAGAACAGAGCCCCCCTGAAAGTTAAAGGATGTGTTAGTCTGGGACGAGGAGAGGAAGAAAGTGAGTTGTCTCTTGGCATAAGTTCAACCTTTTTGAAAAACTAAAATAGAGAAAGCTTCTACAGCATTAAAACGCAACAGTATTTTTTTTACATTGCAGTTTTAAAAACATCTTTCGCTAGATGTGACAGTGATGAAAGGAATCTTTTAAAGGAATAGTAAACCATTTTTGGAAATACGTTTATTTGTTTATAGCAGAGAAAGCCTAATACCAACTCTGAAAATAGAGTGTTATGCTTCTACCACCTGAAGCAGAAAGCAAAAGCAATAAATCACATTGTGCGCATGTGTCCATCGTCCAGCTGCAGTCTAGACATACATTAGGAGAGAACAGGAAGAAATAAGAGATGTTATCCAGTCATGATGATGGTGTTTTACCAGCAGGAGGCATTCTGATCCAGTAAGCCGGCAAAACTTTCACATCTGCAGCCTAAAGACGGCAACTCAGCCAGAGAGGCGTACAGACTGCCCACCAGCAGGGGGTCGAGTGAGGCCTGGGGGGAGCAGTGGGAGGGGGGCGTTTAGACATGGTGGATACAGACCTGCTGCATATTCTGCTGAAACCTGATGAGATTCTTTGCATACAAGAATACAGATATTCTAAATCATTGGTGGGGATTTTGATTTGTGAAGAGAGTGGAGACATGGAAGTACACAAGTACAGGTACCTTACACTTTTACTTGGGTAAATGTACTCAGTTAAATGTCATCCCTGCTGGTGCTTATGGATACTGGAAGAAGAGTGTGTCCCACCTGAGCCAGCATGCTGGGCTGGATGTGCAGAGACTGGGAGTTCTGGTTCTGAGGACCTAAGGGGACGGAGCTGTCCATCCTCACTGGAAAACCAGAGGGCTTACTGGATGTCTGGAGACCTGGAGGGAGAAGAAGAAGGCAGGTGATATTGGTTAATTCAATGAATATATAATTATAGATATAGAGATATAGAGGCTAGGAAATATAGGGATAATGTAGCAAGTTGCATAACATATACAGTACACAGGCCAGGCTACATTTAAAGCATTAAGACATAGAAACACTTTATAAAATGTCATTAGAGTACATTTAAAAAACAGTAAAGAGAGAATACAGAACTAGAAAAACAAAAAAGAATAAGGTAAAACATCTAAATCAAAATGCAATGTGTGAGATATGAAAGTTATTTGATTTAATAAACGGCAGCAGCAAAAATTAAATAATGATGCCTCGATCTAAAAGTTTCAATGTATTTTAAATGTTTGGGAAATATAAAAATGTAGTTATTTCAAAATGTTCTAGGTGACTATGAAATGATATTTATTTTCATTGAGGCAACATGTGGCCCTCTCACCCTGGATGGTGGGGGGGCAGACGATGAGGGTCTGCTGGAAGGGCTCGGTCTGGGTGCAGAGCTGGGGGGGGCGGGGGATGTTGATGGTGGCCTGCTGGTAGAGGCCGGGCTGGTAGTTGAGCAGCGGGACGTTACTGCTGAGGGACAGAGACTGGGCTCCTGCTGAGGACATCTGGAGACACAACGAGCCGGGAAATATGAGTCCAGTTCAGCAAGAACGTCTACGGTAAATGGACGGCATTTATACAGCGCTTTTCCAGTCTGTTTGACGCCTCAAGGCACTTTTACACATACAAGTCAGAACTCACCCATACAGTACATACAGAACATGCAACGGGACAATTTGCTTAAGGAAATGTATGCAGAACGAAATAAATCTCACCTGTTCTACATCCTCTTGCACATAAGTCTACAGACTAATTTACATACAGAAATGCACTTAATGGTCAACCAAGTTCTCTGAAGAATTGCACTTCTATGCAATTACAAATGCTGCCGTTTAGGAATAACACATGCTTCTTCGTTCAATACATTTAAACAAATGTAACTGGTGTTTAAAATAAAAGTTAGTGATTAAGTAACATTTTTGTACATTTCCTGAATTGAAAATAGAAATGTAAGTGTATGTTTAAAATAAATTGACTGTTTAATAATTAATGTTTTCTCTAAAAACTGCAACAATGAAGAGGACCTTCTACCTACCTCTCACTCAAAAAAAAATCCTCCATTGCAAAAAATATAACTCCAGATGAATTGCACAATATTCCAGTTTATTACATGATTTAGTTGAATACTCGATTCTGATTGGTCAATTCAGAACACGTGACACGTTGTTAATCCAGAACAGACAGTCCGCTGTCAAGCACTTATTGTTCAGGACGCTCACATCTGCACAAAGAAGTCCGGTCGATTGAACTGTATACAGTTTGGCTTCGCGTCGGGATCCTGATCTGCCTGGTGTTCTTTTACCCATAACGGTGCGTCCACACAGCGGCGTGCGTTGAAAGCTTCACCATTCACTTTGAATGGGGTGACGTCACTTTTTGCCGAACTGCATTGTGGGAAGCGACGCGGAGCTTTGCTGGCGTGGCTCGCGGCAAAAGTTGAGCAATGTTCAACTTTTGAAGCCTCGGCAGAAGCGTCAGCCAATCGAATCATATGCCAGTACAAGCTTTAGCCAATCAAACCGCTGCTTGTGTGTCAGGGGCGGGAGATTCATGTGATTGGTTGTTGGTCGAGTTTCAGACACGCCCGCCGGCAAGCTTCAACGCACGCTGCTGTGTGGACGGGCCGTAATGACCGCCTCGCTGCACATTATCCCTTACTTATCGAACAGGTTTTACTCTTCAAAGAAGTCAGGTTCAACAGTGGTTTGACTACTTAACTAAAAGGGCTGCTTTATAACCTTCAGCAGGTGAACCCGCCCCCCTGAGGCAGACGCAGGACTCCTCACCTGGCTGTGCTGGCTGAGCTGGCTGCTGAAGGTCACGGTGAGGTTGGCGGCTGCACTCGACGTGGTGTTGCTGGAGAACATGTTCTTCCCGTTCTCAAAGGCGCTGCATCTGCGTTTGCATATGTCCATATTTTGGAAGCAGGATTTCATGCTGTAAAATGACATTATTCAAAATGGTGAACATGTGGGCTCGAAGTTGTTACGTACCTTGTCACACTAGGGGTTTAGAAGGCTGGCAATAAGAATAGCATAAACTAAAATGTTTTGTTTGGGTTATGTGTGTGATGTTTTATTATATCTGAGTATTTACTTGTATACTGTCTATTTCCATTAATTATTTTTGGTTTTTATGATCTTTCTGTCGTATGTTTGTCAACTCATTGAATACCACCTGGAGGGGGAGGGGTTTGCAACTTGTTATCATAAATGTTGGACATACTGTATTTGTGAAAAACTGAAAAATAAAGTTGTTAAAAAAGAAAAAAATAGTGAACAAAGATGGAACCTAACTTCAGTCTTGATCCTCAGCGAGTCCTGCACTTACTGTGAGCTGTGAGGGAAGTGCAGCAGGTGCGTCATGGTAACGAAGGGGTGGTTCAGCGTCTTCATGGGCGTGATGCGTTTGTCTGCGTCCAGCGTCAGCATCTTCTTCAGCAGGTCGATGAACTCCCGCCGGTCCGCCTTCTCTGCCAAGATGTCCGTCCCCTCCAGGTTCGTCATGTTCACCTGCAGAGCCACAGGAAGTGGGTTTGTCAAGCGGCTTCCTGGAGCACCCTAAACTGTGAGAAGTGTATAGGAAAGGAAAGAAGCTCACCTGCATCATATCATCCAAACAGTTGAAGATGTATTTCCTCGCCTCCTTGGACTTGATGCCCATCTCCGCCTCGTGCTCAGCGGACGTCTGCAGAGAGAAATAACCATAGCAACACTTCAGTATATGTACTGCTCATATGCTTAATGATAGACTCTTTAACTTAAAACAGCATTGTGTTTGCACCAATCTTTAAACAATACAAATATACATTTGAGGGCTGATGTTGTGGAACGAACTGGAGGAAGGAATTAAAACATGACAGACAGTTTGAAAGGTGTACAAGAGGTTGATTGTGAATGATGCAGATGAACATAGAGGTTAAGTTGTGGGGATGGACTCTGTGGCAGATTGTATCAAACAAAGTTACAAAGTGCTCTCACATAAAAACAGAAACATTTACAACAGAAAATAAACTAAACTAAAACCAGCAACTAAAACACATTTTAATACAAATAGAGGAAAACAAACTGAAAGTAACACACACAAATAATTAGTTTTTAAAAGTGGATAGGAATAGAAAACCATGTTGCTTCCAGTAGCGTGGCGTGGGGAAAAAATGAGGGGAAGCCAATAATACGTCCTTTCTTTTGGGTCGGGGGTGTGGTGGTCAATGTAATAACGTAACCAGATGAGTGATTACAGCACCCGGTATCATTTTACACACATTTGTATCAGATGCAGGACTTGCACACGCCTTTTATCTAACCGACAGGTCCGCACGCACTCTCCAGCCGAAACTCTAATAAGCATTCATTCACAAACTAAATCAGGAGACCTTTAACGTTTTACGTCCGATTCGCTCCTTTTTTCCTCGCTGTACACAGCTCCAGTTTGGGCATCGGCCTGTCATCAGATTGTATTTGTTGTTGCTGCTGGAGCGGAAGTTTAGTACAATTATTTTTGATGAAATACTCCAAATCTCCACCCTCCATAATTGCACTTGCTTCAGTTGCTTGCTACTTTCTAACGGCGGTGAGAGTGGCGCTATCTATCTTCTATCGATTAGATTTATGATTAGAAAATTATAAAAGTAGGGTAGACATGTGGATATTATCCGACTGAACAAAACTTGCATTTATCTAACAGGTTCGTTTTCCACTGACCTTATTTCGAGCTATTTTCCTAAATCCTATGGAGGGAAACATGCGCAGCTTACTTCCGGATTTTAGGATGCAACACTAAATCGATGCGATTTGATTGGATTGTGAGGCAAGGGAAGCCAGCCGCCTCTGGCTTCCCTTGGCATGGCCCTGACCAATCACAGGTTGGCAGGGGCATCACGTGAGCCTCATCTGATTGGTCAATCCCTCCATTTTTTTTCACCAAGGGAAGCCAGATTCGGCTGGCCTCCTCTCGCAACAGAGAGTGCAATCTACTGTTTCACCATAACATCTAGAGGGGCGCTGTTTCACTCTTTGTAAAATACTCAATGAGAATGGGGGAGAGACGGGCCGGCAGCAACACACAGCAAAGGAGAATTATCGAAACAAAACAAAGTGTTTTTATTTATTTATTAAAATTATAACTACAATCCGAAAAACAGGGGAAGCCTGGCTTCCCTTGGCCTCCGGGAGAAAACGCCACTGGTTGCTTCATTTTACATGAAGTATCAGTTTGTCGCCTATAAACAAATCCGTTGTACTGTACAGTATATGGAAACTGCTATTTAGTGGTTACTTTTGTTTTGTTTTCCTGGAGCTGCATTGTTGGATTACTACTTTGAGAATTGAAAATCATTGTTTAATGTTTTTGTACGTCTTGGAGCCTGTTTATAACAAAGCTGTTATGTCCTTACTCTTTATTTGAGGTCTTTGACCAGGGGCAATGTAATTGGATAACGCACACAATCATTTATTTTTGTTTATAGTCTATGTTTCCTGCCTTCCTGCTTCAACTCACTTCATTTTCTTGTACTCTGTCTTGAGAACTTGGCCGTGTTAATGTTGAACTTGTTGAAAATGTTTTAATTCAGGCTCAGTAATCTCCATCTGTGCAGAGCAACTCACTTTGAGTCTCCAGAGGGGGTAGCTGGAGTCGGGCCCTCTGTTGAAGAAGCGGCTGGTCTTGGTTCCTGCGCTCAGTAGATACTCTGCAGGGAGGCCCTGCGTCTGGGAGATGTAACGGATCTGAGGGAGACAACAGGAGAAGACATTCAGTTGCCTTTTGTTTAAACAATGTGTTAACATCGCCTGAGGGCTGGTTCTCTGAATGAGGCATTGTGGGTTTGGATAAATACATGCAATGCGTGTCGACAAACCTGCTTTAAGAAGGTTCCCGTCTTCATGCCAAGCAACCTGGCAGTTGGCTAAAGCTTCATAAAACTTATGCAAAACTTGTGAAAAACTTGTGAAAAACGTATGAAAAACTTGTGAGAAACTTATGCAAATCCACAAACATCCTTTAAGAGTGTTACATTTTTTTAAACTGATAAACATTTTAACAAAGTCATTACAGTTTTTTCATACTTTGTACAAATTCATAGTCACAGAGAAAGGGCTAAAATGCAAGTTTGTGTGCATGTGTCTGTGTAACTGTCTAAAGTTAGATGGGTTAATCCACATATTGATTTATTTTGTCAGACAATATAATATAATAATATTAAAAGACGCAACAAAGATGTAAATAGTCCTGCACATTATCCACTGTAAAATCAAACTTAAAGGTGGGGTAGGTAAGTTTCAGAAACCGGCTCGAGTGCACTAACATTTGAAAGTACACAGCCGAAAAGAATCCGCCCCTTCCTTACAGAGCACCTCCTCCAACACACATGAACGCGCACATGACGTCAGCAGACTGGTGAAAGTGGCCGCCTGTTGCTGGCGAGTCATTGAAGTACTGCTGCAATGCACGCCCAATGACGGCACGCCCAATGAGGGCACGCCCAATGACGGCACGCCCAATGAGGGCACGAGATACATTTGTGCGTGCACGAGATGGAAGGCTGATAGACAGGGCGGCAATCCAATCCGTTTAGCCGGCCCGGCTAAACGGATTGGTTGTACTTTTTACAATATTACGGCTTCCACAGATGAAATTTTTTTATGGATTTTTTGTCAAAGAACTTAAGATATTCATTGCTATCGGGATGTTAAGAGCATTCCATGGAATATAACAAAAAGTGTATCTCGAGCCGGTTTCTCAAACTTACCTACCCCACCTTTAACAAAAGAGTAATTCTACACAAACAAGATATAAATGTTAATGTGTTATATTAATATATATAAAGCTGTTTACCCTCTGGTTTCTAGTCTTTATGCTAAGCTAAGCTAACCGGCTGTTGACTATAGCTTCAAACAGAAAGTGGTATCAATCTTCCAATCTAACTCTTGTAAACTATAATAAAATGAGAAAATTCTACAATGTCCAACTCTTTCTTACTCTCTCCTAATATATTAGTGTGTGTGAGAGCGCTGCAGCTGACCTGATCATACTCCGAGGCCCCCGGATAAAGCGGCCATCCCAAAAACAGCTCAGCGATGACACATCCCAACGACCACATGTCGATCGCCTCGCAGAAAGGAAGGCCCAGAATAATCTCCGGAGCTCTGCAAGCACAACACAATAGTATGTTAAAAAGACAAAAGAGCAGGTCATTTACATAATATTCAAGAAAAGGCACGTTTTTTTATATAGTGCTTTGTAGAGGGGGGAGTGTGTGAGGGAGAAACTCAGGGATTGTAGTCTTTGCAGACCATTTACATGCAGAAAAATATATACAACACACTACAGGAAATTGCCCAAAAGCAAAATAGGGCCTCTTTAAGTGCCTTTTAAACCAGCAGTAGTCATTTAAAACCGATTATTTGACCCACAGGAAACCACTTTAAAGACCAGAACCGTGTTGATGTGATCATCTTCCAAAGCTCTAACGCAGAGGTGTCCAAACTGTTTTCACCGAGGGCCACATACAGAAAAATATACGAAGGGCTGGGCCCACTCACTCGAGAGCCTCATAAGTTCAGTTATTATAAGTTGGAAAAATCTATCCAAAGTAGGTAAATTATTCTTGATACTTGAAAATGCTGTTAGAAAAAAACTGCCTACAGTACATCACAGCTCTCCAGAGCTAATTCCTTTAAACAGAAGCTTCAGATTGCTTATAATAATGGGAAATATGAACAGTAGATTTCAAGCTTGATATGTAATTAAGTTATTGGGCTTTCTTATCAACAGGGTATACGCAGGGATCCTGAAGTCAAATGTAATACCATTTCAAACCTTTTTTAAAAACCTTCCCATACATTTTAAGACCTCATCGCCACTTTGAGTTTTAACCGGTTACCTTGGCAACACACTTTACCTCACATTAACTATATACAGTATTGATTGTCCTTCCTCCTTATCTTCCAACCATTTGGACGCAGACTTGCATTTCCCCATAACGATGTTCGAAAATGCCGTTCAATACTTTTTAATAGCCTTAATTTTCGCTAAATTGATTGATCAACTTTTAATACTTTTTAAGACCCCGCGGACACCCTGATCAAGTTAGATTTGTTAGAACATGTTTTCAACTTTAATTGACTGAATTTATTAGAAAATTGGGCTTATTAACACATAAATACTCTGTAATATATTTGAACATATATACAAGCTGAAGTTTATCATACTCAAGTCATTATATTTTTTTAATTAGCTGAGGGCCAATTCAAAATGGTCCGCGGGCCGCATTTGGCCCCCGGGCCTTAGTTTGGACACCCCTGCTCTAACGGTACAGTCCAGGCTGACTCACCTGTAGTATCGAGACTGCAGGTAGGTGGAGCAAACTGCTTTGGACACGTGGCTGGCGGAGCCGAAGTCGATGACCTTGACTCGGTACGGCTGCCTCAGAGGGTCCACCAGCATGATGTTCTCCGGCTTCAGGTCGGCGTGGATCAGCCCCAGGCTCTTCAGCTTCATCAGGGCCGTGGCCACCTGCTGCAGGATGGGCCGGATGCACTTCAGCAGCAGCGGGCTGAACTTGCTGTGCTTCAGGAAGTCGTAGAGGTTCTGCTCCAGCATCTCAAACACCAGGCACGTGTGGTTCTTGTGCTGGAAACACTCGTAGGAGCGGACGAAGTTGAACTCGTCGGCGTTCTCTGTGCTCAGTCTGCTCAGGATGCTCACCTGCAGGAGAGAGGGGGAGGAACATGGAAATTGTATTGTGCTTAAGAGATAATGATATGGATGGAATGTCTTTAGACTATTTGTAAATGTTTAGAAATGGCAATTATTTCCATGAGTTGTTCCTAACTTTATCTTGTGGTAAAGTGGTTTGTAAAGGCTTTTTTCTTTACATCTACAGGTTTGAAAAACAAGCTAGATATCCGGTTTATAACTGGATAGAAGGGAGTGTCGGAGCTCCGTGTGAATAACAACCATGTTTACCGGATACGTCTCTGAGGCGTTGTACTTTCAAATAAAAATACATGAATTATGCAGAGGGAAAAACGTTCACCTGAATGGATTTGGGCTTCTTATTGTTTTTATCTAACTGCTATTTGGTATAATCATTTTATGTGACACAAATATTTTAGGGTCTATAGTTTCCATGAAACCATAGCGGGAAACAAGCCTCTTGGCTTCTTGTTTACTTTGCATTTTGTGCCTAGGTTGGCAATAGTCTGCTTTTGTGTGAGCAGGCCCTAAACTAGCATTCATGTCTTATCGGAGCCGTCATTACAACAAGAAAACTCAGATTTTTCCATGTCTGAAATGAGGAAAATGGAAACCCCCTATATGTATGTTATATTGTCGCTGCAGAGCATGGAGATCTTTCCCATCACCACCATCCATTTTATCTGACGTGAACATTATGCTGTCATGGACCACATTTTTTTGCCTTTATGTGTGTACATTTTGGCTATTTGGCACCTTTAAGTCATATTGAATTAGATGTTAGCAGTAACTGTCTGCACCCTACACTGTGGATTCATACAACCTTTAATAATGAAAACAAATTACTTTCTTTGGGATTTCTAAGCAGATTCTGGAGGTTTATCGGATGCTAAGAGTCAAATAATTGAAAATACTACCTTTTCTAGAGTTTTCATTTCATTTCAGAAAAAAATACTCACTTCAATTTGACCCTGCCGAGCGTAAGACGGGTGGTTCTTCAAGATCTTGATCGCCACGATCTCGTTTGTGCCTCGCTTCCAGCATTTGGCCACCTGTCCGAAGGTGCCTCGCCCCAGGAACTCCAGCACCTCGTAGCTGTTGGCCATGGAGCACAGGATCTCGTGCTGCACCAGCTGGTAGTCGCCCTCGCTGTGGGAGGAGCTGCTCTTGGTGGTGGAGGTGGAGTGAGCTATGGACTGCGCTGTGGTCCCCCCCCCTCCCCCTCCTCCTCCACCCGTTCGGTTTGACACCACGGGGGCCGAAAGCTCCTCCAGGATCTGAACGCTGTCGCTGCTGTCAACCTCCTCACTCTTCCTCTTCAGGCTGTGCTGCTTGTGGTAGAGGGAGGAGGACTCTGCATCCTTTATGCGGCGGCTGGAGGAAGAGGAGGAGGAAGAGGAGGAGGGAAGTCCGCGTACGCTACCTGTAAAAGTCAGTAAGTAACATTTATTTATAAAGCGCTTTTCACAGACAAAGTCACAAAGTGCTTGACAAAGCATTAAAACATCATATGAATAAAGACGTGCTAAAAACACAATACATTGTGAAAAACACAATAAACAATAAAATAGAATAAAAGCACACAAGTTACCCAAACGCCTGCCCAAACAGGAATGTCTTTACATGACATTTACCGGACCGTACGCTACCTGTGCTGTCGGCCGCTCGGACCACCGTCTGCTCCCGGGAGCCGGATGAAGGCGGGGGGGGTCCCTGGTTGGAGTTGTACACCGGGTTGAAGTTTGATCCGGAGCTGGAGGTGGAGGGCGCGGCTCCCTGGGAGGGGCTCTGCTGGAGGTAACCATTGTCCCCCGGCTGGCTGGAGGCTTCCCAGGTGGGGGGGTTCTCCACTTTCAGCCTCTTGGAGCGGGAGTGGGCAGTGGAGGAGACGGAGGGAGAGGAGAACACCTGCAGCTGAGACGCCATGTCTGCAGGTTGAAGATCAGCAGAAACCATCAGAAGTGTGTCAAGAAAACTTTATATTGTGTAGATAGTTAGATGAATGGATGGATGGGTGGGTGGATAGATGATAGATAGATGAATGGATATATAGATAGATAGATGAATGGATGGATGGGTGGGTGGATAGATGATAGATAGATGAATGGATATATAGATAGATAGATGATAGATAGATGATAGATGGATGGTGGGTGGGTGGGTGGGTGGGTGGATGGATGGATGGATAGATAGAAGTACAAAAATATATTGAATGTATTCTTGGTGATAAATGTCTTTTCTACTGTCGACATGTTTATGGTAATTGTATTTTGTTTATACTTTATTCCACCTTTTAAACATGTTAATGCCTGAACACATTGCTGCTGTAACAAATAATATCCCAATTTGGGATCAATAAAGTATCTATCCATCTATCCATCTATCCATCTAGAAATTGGAGATTTGAGAGTTCATCCTTTACGGATGATGATTCAGAAAATATATCAAATGGATAAAATTAATCGAGTAGTCAAACAACAGAAACAAATATTCTGTTGTTTAAAATACAATTATTTGTTTTAATTTAAATAATTAAACATTGTTTGGGTCATTCTTGAAGTAAAAATATTCAGGCTTCCTAAATGTTAAATGTTTAATGCTTTTTCCTATCTTATATTATAATACATTAGAAATGTATTTTACTTACAGAATACAAAAAAAGTAATAGATTATTGATATTTGATGAGTATTTTCGACTATTTTCTGATGTCCTAAATAACAAAGGGTCCATAACTTCAACGATTCATCAATTAATCCAGTAGACGAACAACAGAAACAAATATTCAGTAACTATTTTCATACAGTAATTTAACATCCTTTTTGAAGCAAAACATGGCAACATTTTCAAGATTAAAGCTTCTTAAAGTTCAGAGTGTAATGCTTTTTGTTATCTTACAATATAGTAAATTAAAAATGTCGTTTTTCGAATGTTCCCTTAATTTTCACCTTGATTACACCAGTGTCCATGAGCGGGCTGTTTCTTCCTATGGGCGGACTATGCAGATGCATAGTGCCCCGCAACCACTAGGGGGCCCTAAGCTGAAAGTTCAGGTTCAGCCTCAATGTATTTGGGGAGAATTAAAATTAGCCGTCTTTATTTGTAGACAGCCAAGCCCCCTCCTGTGTTCGGTGAAGCATTATATGCTTTCAAATCTAATGTAGGATATAAACACAACAAAACTGCAATGATAGCAAAACTGTGGCTTGTGTTTGTAATAAAGTCCAAACCATCGTTGGGCTGCCACCCAATGAGTGACGTCTGAGGAAGATGAAAAATGTAAATTAAACATTGATGAGAAAATGCTGCATCTCTTGCATTTGCCGAGGTAGAGGAGCCTTATTTTTTACCTTTTTAATATAATTCTTTGTAAGTTTCAATTGCTTGGTTTTCATGAAATTAGCCTGTTTTCCTCTTCAAGTGTAACAGATTGATGCATCTCCACAGATCATCTTAGACTTAAAGGCTTTGGGATCCCACCATTGTAGTTTGAAAAAAACTATAGGGCCCCCAAACAGCATCTTGCATAGGGCCTCCAAAAAGCTAGAAACGGCCCTGAGTGTGATAACATGTAACTGCTGTCTGATAATAATAAAAACTAGAGAATGCAATTCCTGACGAAACTGCTAGTGGGAATGCTTTATGCTGAAAATCTGACGCTGAATTGCTATGCTGAAATGTAATGTGTAAGAAAAAAGTGAAGAATTTAGGTTGAAATTATACATAGACACACTGGGGGCTTGAATGTGTGATGAGAGAAGAAAATAAAGTAAAATGGCTTGGAAAAGCAGCAGAATATTTGAACTGCAAACTTTTTAACTAACTTGATGGCGAATGATCTGTCGCCATGCCAATGGCATTTGATGACATCCCATAATACGCTTAGGTGCGTTGATGGCTGCATCGTTACCAAACCTGTGAAGTTTTGGTCAGTTTGGAGCATTTTCACTGAAGTTATGAGAAAACCGTGTTTCATGGCGAGCCTTGTGCTACCATGGCAACGACATTTGAAGAAATCTCAAAACTCTCACGTGTATGTCTTCACGGCTGGAGTGTTAGCACACGTGAAGTTTGAGCACTTTTTGAACATTTTCATAGGAGTTCTAGCGACATCGTGTTTTATGGAGAGGGATGTGTTTCCATGGAAACGGCATATGGTGAGATCTCAGATTTGGCGTAGAACTGTTGAGGCATGGACCGGTGATATACAAGTGAAGATTGGGGGACGATTGGACCGTGTCCATTGGACTTACAGCGACATTGTGTTTCATGGCGAGTGGTCTGTCGGCATGGCAACAACATTTGATGAAACCCCATAATACGCTTAGATGCGTTGATGGCTGCATCGTTACCAAACCTGTGAAGTTTTGGGCCGTTTGGAGCATTTTCACTGAAGTTATGAGAAAACCGTGTTTCACGGCGAGCATTGTGTTGCCATGGGAATGGCATTTGAAGAAATATCAAAACTGTCCCGTAGATGTCTTCACAACTGGACTGTTAACACACATGTGAAGTTTGAGCACTTTTTGAACATTTTTATAGGAGTTAATGTATAGCGACATCGTCTTTTATGGCGAGGGATGCGTTTCCATGGAAACGGCATATGATGATACCCCATAATTTACGTAGAGCTGTTGAGGGCTGGACCGTTAACCATTATCTGAAGTCTGCTGCTCGGAGCATGTCAGTTGGAGTTATGACATCATCGTGTTCCATGACACAGGTGTTTATATTTGAGCTAACGAGGTGTCCAGAGATCAGAGGTTTCCATTGTTCTGAATGAGAGATAAACCTCTTACATGTGAACGTTTTGTTGAAGAACCGTAACAGATATCGGTGAAATTTCAAAGCGTGAAGCATCTCAAGGACCTTGAGTATCTGAAGTGTGCTTTTTGTGTACTTTTGGGTCAATAATGTGGCCTTTTTGGCAGATTAACTAAAGGTGTGCGGCTGCTGCTGTGAGGAAATATCTGTCTGAAATTACAATGGGCTTTAATGGAGACATGTTGAAAGTTATTGTCACTTCATATCCACAAGAGGCATTTTGTTTAATTATTTTTGCTTAATTATTTGTCATTTTTCAAGCTACGAGATGTTTTCCTACGTTTGTCATGAAAGATTATGTCTCAGGAATGTAGGGTTTGGGAATTATGGCAGTTTAAAAAAAAAATATGAAGGCAAATTTCAAGATTTCCTACACTCTATGTGACATCATGCACTCAATGTTAAAATCTGAAGAAGGCCTCTGTACCAAGGTCTGAACAATATTTAATATCTCTAAAAGTAAGATTTAAAAGTTGTTTTACATGAATAATGTCAGAAAGATGTGTAACATTTTAAAGTTGGAATGAGGTTTCTGAGTGAAAGTATGAATGAACAGTTAGCAGTTGAAGTCGCATGAAGATTTGTTGAAGTCTGAAGAATTTCTCCATTGACTTCAATGGTTAAAAATGTGATGAATTATGGGATGTATCTCTGGAATTACGAAAGTTATGAATGATACAAAGTAATAGCAATCGATTCCCGACCGAGCTGAACGTTTTGATGTTTGAACGGAGTTTCTGCGATGTTCAATGCGGGAGGAGAAGACCGGCAAAATAACGGGCGGAATCAAATTAAAGAATTTCGTGCGTAGAAGAACAGATGGTTGGCTAACATATTCAGTAACTATTTTCATACAGTAATTTGACATCCTATAGGTAGTTTTTTAAGCACAACATGGCAACATTTTAAAGATTAAAGCTTCTTAAAGTTCAGAGTGCAAAGCTTTTAGTTGTCTTACAACATAGTAAATACAAAATGTATTTTTTCGAATGTTACCTTAATTTTCACCTTGATCACACATAATTAGGGTCAGGGTCTTTGTTTTTGGCCCCTGTCTGTTCACTTCAACTGTGCATAAGCCTTATAACATGCAACTACTGTCTGATAATTAAAAAACAGTCCCAAAAGTTTTATTTTGATAAGGTCTCAACACTCTAATATGTTATTTATTTCACTTAGTTATTTTAAACTGCTGCCACAATTTTTTTTTTGGCCATGGTTGTGTACTTATTTTTCTTTTTTATTTATGTATTACTAATGTGTCTTTCCCTTGCTTGCCTTTTTTACCTGCTATGCCACTTTTGCTGTGGGACTAATAACGGAATTTCTGGATACACATTAACGAGTGACAATACCTGTATTTGATGACTGAACACACCGATCTGATATTTAAGGCCTGATCATCATCATCTTCATCCTCTCCTCTTCAGAAGAACACCGGGCTGTGTGTTGCTGCTGCTGCCGATCAGAGGGAGCTGCTGGCCAGCTGCAGCTCGAGCTCTCTCTCGCTGTAGCAGGATGGATGGATGAGCACTAAGCTAACAGGCTAACGTTAGCTAGCTACGCACATCCCAGTCATAAGGGACTGACAGCCGCAGTCACATCGTGTATGAAGCGAGCAGAATGTGCACAATGTCAGAGGAAATGTCAGATACTATCATAATGAGCACTGTCGACTAGACAGAGCTCCATCATCATCCTCATCATCATCACCACTGTACGTACGCTTTCTACTGAGTGGACGTAACGGAGCGTACGTAACATGCGTCTACGGTCGCAGGGTCAGGGATAGAGCAAAACATCGTACAATTTCACAGAATGTCATCACTATAAATAAATATATACACACACCAGAGGTGGGAGAAGTACACAGATCTTGTATTTGAATAAAATACGTAGAAGTACCAGAGTGTAGGAACACTCTTTAACAATGTTAAAGTACAAAAGTATCAGCTTCAAAAATATACTTAAAGTACCAAAAGTAAAAGTCCTGATTATGCAGATTGGTCTATTTCCGAATAATATGATATGTTTTGATTATAATTATTGGTCATTAAAGTGCTATCAAAGCTGGTAAAGGTGCAGCTAGTTTGAATGACTTTGTATGCTGCAGGGTAGCTTGTGAATTTACTCCAGGTGGAACTAAAGTCTGATTTAAGAGTTGATTATATTTCACATCATTCATCCAAATCTGTACAGCAACTAAAAGGTACAATGTAGTTGAGTTAAAGTACACGAGTTACCTCTGAATGGTAGTGGAGTAAAAGTAAAATGCAGCATATTATTGAAATATTCAAGTAAAGTAAAAGTATCTCAAAATTGTACTCAGTACTTGAGTAAATGTATTTAGTAACTTCCCAACTCTGACACACAAACTGTACAGTAGGGTGAGCACTTTTAAGCAGTTTAATGCATAGAATTCCAACTGTTTCCAGTATTTCCTTGTTCCTTTTCAATATTCTTATTTCTCTCTTCCCGTATGATAAACGCAGTGGGACGTATAGATAGTAGAATAGTACAACAGTGTATATAAAAGAAATCAGGGAAATTCAAAGCCAACTAAAACATAAAAAAAGGTTATACCTCTAATGTAGAACGACAGGTTTCTAGCAGATTTCTTATTTCAACACAAGGGGTCGCTGCTGTTCAGCTACAGTGAGATGTTAAATAGTTGTGTGGCCAAACTATAGACAAGTTCCCTTAATGCATTTTGTGTAAACACAGACAAGTTTATTTTTCATCCATCTTTCATGTGCATTCCTGTTCATAGTCATACAGATATATTATCAAGTGTGCTACTACAACACATATACAGTAACATAAGCACTGCATTTCATAGTGGTACTGCAAATTACACAAAGTAATACAAAGACTACACCAGCATAGTCAATGCAAAAAAAACACAACATTTCATAACAAAATAAACGGAAAGTAATACTGCGACTTCATGGTTGTTGATGATAGCTGATGTCACTCTTTATCCATACAACATAGCTGAATTCAAGTATGAAATATAATGGGAGTAAATGCATGCATTACACACACACAAATGTATATGTCAAATAAATCCTTCAATGAATCAGAATAATGAAATTGATACAGCAAAGAAATGGCAACGATTACAGAAAATAACAAAACAAGTGCTTGACATTTTATCCAAACAATTTTTATCTAACACTGTACAAAAGCAATGCTATATTTATTTGTAAAAACATTTAAGAGGACAAGACCAGCAAAATCCTCATTTCAATATAAAACGTTGATCCAAGAACAGCACAAGACTCTTGCGGATATAATGCTACTGTAGGATATTGATATGAAATTGAGGGCTAATGACCAGCGAACAGCATCCAAAAATGAACGATTTCTCACTTAAAAGGATTAAAATGTGAATTTTTCTGCTGAATAAACAGACTGGGTAACTTGTAACACGTTATGCTTTTTCTTTAAGATTTGTGATAGTAACTGTGAGAATATGGAAAGTGGCTGTTGCACTTTTCAAGTACATCATTGTGTTCCTCTGCTTATTTACCGACTACCTGAAGGAGTGTCTGAAGTGAACACTCCTTCGTTTCAGCTTCTCCGGGTTGTGGGATGCCATGTGGGAAAATTCTCGGAAGATGTCGAGGTATGTGGCGTCTCCTGATGAAGAAAACAACGGAAATAATGTCAAAAATGATGCCACTTTGAACAGTCAAAACATCTAAGGGTGGGAGAAGTACTAAATCTTGTACTTAAGTAAAAGTAGAAAAACAGATATTAACGGATATCAACATTTAAATACGGCGATATCAAAAGATAAAGTTTACATTTAAGAGTGTAGGAATACTCTGTTGCAAGTAAAAGTCCTGCATCAAAATATTACTAAAGTAAAAAATACACAAGTATTAGCATCAATATATATACTTAAAATACCAAAAGTAAAAGTACTCATTCTGCAGATTGGTCCATTTCAGAATAATATATATTATATACTTTGATTAAATTATTGATTCATTAAAGTGTTCTCAAAGCTGGTGAAGGTGCAGCTAGTTTGAATGGCAGGGTAGCTTGTGAATTTACTCCATGTGGAACTAAAGTCTGATTTAAGACTTGAATATATATTATTAAACAAAATCTGCAAAGTAACTAAAGGTATTAAATAAATGTAGTGGAGCAAAAGTACACCATTTACCTCTGAATTGTAGTTGGGCAGAAGAAAACATTGAAATACTCAAGTAAAGTACAAGTAACTCTAAATGGTACTTCAGTACAGTGCTTGGGTAAATCTACTTAGTTACTTTACACCACTGCTTTTATATAAACACAAGCGATGAGAGGAAACAGAAAGCATAAGGAGCTGTGTGTAAGAAGAAGTCTAGTGAATAGAAACAGGCCGAGGCACCATGAAGCTTTCTGCTTTCAACTTTACAAATTCTGAGGTTTTACTTTACTCGTGGCCATGGTAACCGCTCAATCCACAGGCGTAACAAAGGCAGTCGATCTCTTTGTGTCTCATGAGAGCTCCCAGACTCGGCTAATTAAAAAAAGGAGGAATGAACATTCCTGTCTTTCCCTGTTTATGTGATGTGTGAGAAAGAAAAGCAGGGATCACCGAGTGCATCCTTAGATATGGCTTCATGGTAAAAATGTAAACCCTGCAATAAGTACTTCAAAGTAAACATCGTGGTTTATAAGACATACAGGAGGGAGATTTGAGTTTCAAAATAATATGTACTTCGGAGCACTGTGCTGTACAGACATTAAGGAATGGTTTATATAAGAACATTTTAACTTAAGTATTACATTTAATATATTTGTCAATACTCAATATACACTTGTAATGTGCTTCAATTGCATACTATTAATAACATTGTGTTTACAGTGATATTTTTGGAACAACATTATACATTATAAAGCAGTAACAATGGTCCAGTTTATCTACCTCAAAAAAGAGCCCAAGCCAGGAGAAAATGCAATTATAATGCGTTATAGTTTATATTTTTTAATTCTACCTTTATTTTTATATTTAAAGGGTCAAGGGCAACGTTTTTATAATTGAGCAACTGACTGTTACACAACATTGTGGCTATATACTGTAATAGTGTCTAAGTAGAGCTTATACACATTTTGAATGGTATATCCTATCCTACATTTTTGGGTTGAATCTTTCCAATAAAACACTTTTCAAGAGGAATAGTACATTAATTAGTCTTTTGCTAATTTTGTGGGCGTAAAAATGCAGCAAAAGTTCATTTTTGGCCACATTTTCTTACTACAGTTTGTTTGCTGTTCCAAACTCCCTCTGGAGGGAACTTTAGCCTTTGCAGACCATTGACATGCACAAAAACCTTTATAACACTCTCCAGGAAAGGGAAACCCTAAAAGCATAATAAGGCCTCTTTAAGCGTTGAAGAATGCATTAATTGAAATTAGGGCTGAACGATTAATCGATTTTAAATCGAAATCACGATTTTAAATGATGCGATTATCAAAACGCAAAGCCTGCAATTTCTTTTTACAATTTTTTTGTTTGTTCTTCTTGTGTGTCAGTCATCCACACCAATCAGAAGTGCTGTGCTCCACATGTACCAGCCATTGTTAACCAATCAGAAGTGGCCCATGATAGAAGGTGATAGACAGATTGATCCAATCACCTGCCAAGTGCTTCTGAAAGTGCCTGCCCTTTCCAAATGGCTTCCAATGGAGCTTTAGATGGTTTGGTGAAACCATCTGGGTCAGGTTAGTGATGCTCCATCACATGTTTCTATTACAGGGTGAATCTGAAACTGAAGCTTGACTTCAAAGCAACCCAACGGGAGTTTCATGTAAGTTTAGTTCTTTCACTCGTAGCTCGGGCTGCGGGGGTGCTAGAGACGGGAGCACGTTGATGCGACCTTCCTAGCCGGAGATATGGCCGCATTTTACAATAAACTTCCGTTGGGTCGCTAAAAAACAAATATCGCAAATCGAATCGCAATATCTGTCAGACAAATCGCAATTAGATGTTTTCCCAAAATCGTGCAGCCCTAATTGAAATACTTAAGTTAACATTTTCTTATATTTTCTTGCAACTATATAGTGTTATATACACCATTGTATAATTACTATACAGCGCCTATAAACACTCAAAAATAAAAACATTCAAACTCAAATGTTAATCTGCATAATGCACATTCTAATTGACTGAATACATATGTTATAATGTCATGCTGTGGAAACCAGATATATTGATTCATTGTTAGTGCAGCAGCAGTTCATGATGTGTGTTAGTGCTGTTACATGTAGCGAAAGGTTGTAAGAGAAAAGAAGAAGGAAGCAAGGAAGCAAAAGGAGAGGACAGATTTTAGTCACATCTTCCATTTATTTTACTTTTAGAAGACACTGGGAGGGGTTATTGAACAAAGAGGAGTCAAGTAGCAGTTAGTGTTAATATGCACAGGAAAGTTCTTACAATATTCAAAGAAATGAACAGTTAACAGTCAGAGACAGAAAAGATGCAAGAAAGTTAAAAATGGCATGTTAGAAGCAAGCAGTTAAAGTGTTAATAGTTTTTTTTGTTTCTATCCACAACAGTCAGCAGACACATCGTACTGTACAACACATAATCCTTCAATGGCTTGATGCAAATCATCGTCCGGTCAGTGACATCGTCTGTAAGCTACCACATCGAGTACTGCACAAAATAAGAGAAGGCTGGATTTTCAAAGTGCTTTCATTTGTTCACTGACAAGCAAGAAAAGGGAGTGAGCTGCTCTATTTGTCAGCGCTACGTCTGCTACACGGCTAAGACCTGTGTTAGCAAACTTAAGTTAGGGACTGTATGACAATTATTAAGGGGTAGGAGTAAGAAAAGTCGGTTTTCCCTTTCAAATTCAACACAAAATGTACATTAGTTTCAATGGAATCAATGCGTTTTAGTGGGTTCATTCGTGAGACAGGAGCGGATTTGCGTAAATATCTTAGCTTGAGTTCAACTTTGGTGAACTGTTGCTCGCAAAATGTTGACATCATGTTCTTTATTAAGAGAGCAGGGCTCATACTGAAGCTTATTAGACATGTTGCACCATCAACTCTGATTTAAACTCCGTTGTTGGAGTAAAAAGGCTGCCGTACAAATAATTGGTTGCACACAGTAATGAGACAGGAATCTTATTCTCCTATTAGCGACTGAGCTAACGAGCCGCTAAGTGAGAGATGGCAAGTGATGCTTTTTTTCCTTCCGATCTGGTCTTTTATTGAATGAAATAATATAAAATCGTGGTAAAGAAAATGTCAGCAGTTAGCTCTCCCTTGCCATGTACTATTGTAACTGTGCCTTTATTTCATAATGTTCTTGCAGGATTCAGTATAAAATGCATGTTCAGCACAAACCAATGTGTTATACTGTTAAGCAGTGATCATACTTAGATTCATGGTTTAGAAATGAGTTTCGCTTGATTCAAAAGCTCAATAAAAGGTTCAGCCAACCACCCAAATATTTGTCATAGTCCCTTTGGATTCATGGCCTACCTTAAGAAAGAAAAAGGTCATATAAAAGAAGAAAAACACTTGCTGGCACTGAGAAACTGTCTGTGGTCTTTGGTTAACCAAACCTCAACAGTCCATAGCATCTGTCAAAGACGAGCAACATCTCTGGGACAATATTTGTCTTTAGGCTAATTTAAACTCAGAAAACACGAGAAAACCACGTTCTGTATCACTGCTACTTAGGAGTCAAACAAATAGAAATCGAGAGACTTTGCTTCATGTCAGAGCGTAAACGGGATGATTCAATAAAGTTTTAGACAGGCTACCATGGTCATTGTCAACTTTTTGCACTATCCAGCCAACGTAAGAGAGGGGCGTTCAGTCCGTTTGCATCTATTTCTGTCATGAATGTCATTCCATGCACTGTTGTCATGATTTGGCAGTATATAATATGGACATCAACATTATCCAACAATATTAAAATGTCAAATATTCACTTACACTGGGCACACAAGTAAACAAAAGCAACAGGAAGATCTGGGCAACAGCCACCCATGCATTATAAACAAAGAACAAATCTAACGTATGCTTAATCGTGATACTTTAGAACACAATGATCAGACATTTTAACATATAAATACTGTTTATAAACAGTAATACTTGTTAGTTTAATGTGATTTATAAAAAAAAGTCCATCTTACACTGCAGTTTGTACTCCAAGAGATGATATATTATCGAGTGTTGGCTCTCTTTCTCACCATGAGAATATAATACTGGAGGTGCGTGTGTGTGTGTGTGTGTGTGTGTGTGTGTGTGTGTGTGTGTGTGTGTGTGTGTGTGTGTGTGTGTGTGTGTGTGTGTGTGCTCAGCAAAATAATATCTACCAAAATATATCCAGCTTAAAAAAATACTTTGATTATCTGTACTGAAATCATCATTGCACTATTGCTCTGGATGCTTTGTCTTGATTAAAAGCATTTTAACTTATTCCTAAGGAGAACAAAAAACTAGATTTAAATCACTGTTGGTAGGAAAAAGTGCATAATTCTGCTTTTAATAAATCATAAAAGCTTTGTAAGAGGAATGATCTTTCTTCAGTGATCTTCTACTCTCAGTCAGAGTTATCTCAGCCTCAGTTTCCCCTCAAAATGCAAATACAACACTACCTTTCATCATAAACACACAAACTACTGATCCTCAGGTTATTCAAACAAGTACATTTACTCGAGTACTTTTCTAAAGTACAGTTTTACCTGAGTATTCCCAATTTATGCTACTTTACTTTGTACATTTTAGAAGCCAATATTGTACTTTTTACTCCACTACATTTATCTGACAGCTTTTAGATACTAGTTACTTTTAAGATTTAGATTATTAGCTAATATAAAATATTCATGTGTTATTAAATAGGCTTTGACATATACATATACACCAAGATATCCAGCAGAAGTGTATAATTCCCAATAGCTCTACCTTTACCAGCTGTGGTAAACAAACACATCAATAATCATAATCCAGTTACTTAATATAACTCAATGGGCGAATACGCATAGGGAGTACTTTTACTTTGGTATTTTAAGTATAATTAGATGCCGATAGTTTTGTACTTTTACTTGTAACTGATTATTTTAACAATTTGATATTGCTGTTTTTCCACCACTGTGAACAGGCAATGAATTGATTGTTCTTTCCTCTATGAGACACATTTTAGAGTTACCAGGGCGTCCAGCCGCTGATTCCTGAAGTAATTTCTCCCATTCTGTATTCCCATTTCAATTTTAAGGACACAATATCCCCTAAAGCAGTATTTCTCAAACTTTTCCATACCAAGGACCACTTAACCAATAAAAAAACACTCGCGGACCACCTAACTCTACAAATATAAAAAAAACACATCGTTTTTCTAGAACAGATTACAAATCGCCTGAAAATGGTACAAACAAGTGGCAACATGTGTGATGAAGGTGTTGCGCTGGGCTATATCATGCAATCGAAACTTAAGCTCGCTCCATTGCGGAGATATACCCGCGAGAGTGCGGACAACTGAAATGTATTTATTTATTTCAAATGTGAAATGTTACCAATATACTCACGGACCACTAGGGGGCGCTCACGGACCACCAGTGGTCCGCGGACCACACTTTGAGAAGCACTGCCCTAAAGGATTAAGCCACGACCACCAGTTATAATTATCTCCGTTTCGTTTTTGAGAAATGATCTTGTGTCCATCCTTCCTGTCAAGCAAACAGCTCTTCATACTACATTACCCATGAGCCTCAGCCACCAATACCGGGCTAAAGAGACAAAAGAGAGCGATAGAGAATTTGAAATGCTTCATCGTTTTAAATGGAAACAAATGATGGGTCCATAGCGGCTGAAATCATCTAAAAGGGATTCCAAAAATAAAAAGCTAATCTGAGTTTAAGCTCTGTGATTGGATGTTTCTTGTGTAGTTAACTTTGACTGGAAAGTTGTATATCTTTTCAACGTTTTACATAAGAACTGGACTGACGATTTAAGCAGGATTTTAGTGCTGATTGACGCGTCAGAAGTCGTCCCTTTTGATTGCATTTTAGTCAGAACAAAAGCGTCTGAAATATCTGAAATAAACGTAGACTTGTTTGTAAAAGCAAACCGTGGCAGGTCTTTGGTTCAGAGCACACTGAAGCATTGAAACACTCAAATATGACTCTATCTGTGGTTTGTTGACAGTCGTGCTGCTGGACGTCTCGGACCCTTCCTTGGCAGTGATTTCTCCACCATGTTGTGTTAATGCTGTGTTCATGTTGGCAGCTGAATGAAATCTGACACCACTAGAGCAGGTTAACACTGAGTTAGTGGGTGATCCTAAGTGATAATCTGACTGTTTAAAGTCAGTAGTGTATGGTTCTGATGTGGAGAGGAAACACCTGCGTGTGTTTGTGTGTGTTCTGGCACCCCCTGCACTGCTTTTACTGTAGTTTGAACCCGAGTTCTGATCCTAGCACTCGGCTATAGTGAGACAGATAAACTCCTGAATGCACTTCTTATACTGCTGCTCAGTGGGGCTGCTGATTGGGTAATGACCTGGCTGTCCAAAGGGTCCCTCCGACTCCCGCATCTCCTCGTTCATCCGGGCCAGACGCAGCCTGGAGATACAGAGGAAAGGGTGTTAAAACTATCAAAGCTGGAGAGTGTCTGCTTTGTACACCTTTTTTGAGTTACATATAAAGAAAGAAACACAAACAACAGCACTGCTCCTACGGGCTATCTCAACTGGGTATACATGTTTCCAATATTTCACTGAAAACACAGCCTGACGTTAAGAAAGAAAGTGTGTTAAAATCCATCATAGCTGGAGTGTAAAGCAATAAAAAGTGGTTTTATATAAATTCTTATAAAATGGTGTGTAATTGAAAGGTTTGTTAAATTTACGTTTTTGAGGGGAAAATAAAGAAACATTTAATATTTGGACGCATTTTTGAATAAAGTTTGTGCCACACTTCTCCGAAAAGTTATCTGCATCTTAACGCGTGTTTAAATTGTTCTAATATTTCACTGTAAACTAGGGATGCACGATATTGGTTTTTTTAAACCGATACCGATACCGATAACTTCCTGCTTCTCAAGACCGATACCGATTATAAAAAAAAAATTACGCCACTAATTATTTTAACGCGATTAACGCATGTGTATTTTTTTTCCTCGGCCGCCCCGTAGTTTCAGAGCGCATCGAGTTTAAAATACCATCTACAAGCTGATGCTGACAGCCCCGCTCCTGCCGCCCGCTTGTGGCAGACCACACTTCCACGCTCACTGGCAGGCACCGGCAGACACCGACTGGCCATCTGGAGGACCGGGAGGGTGTGTGTATGTGTGGCCCGAGCGAGCGAGAGAGAGACCTTACGTGCATTGTTGTTGTTAGCATCTGGTGCTAGCTAGCTGCGCTAACGGATATACGGAGCTGTTTAAATGAAAACAGAGGAGCGACATTTCGCCACAACTGCGCCGAGCACTTGACTTTATGCAGGAAGCCAGACAGTGGGACATTGTACGAAAAGACAGCACACTCAGCACGGATAGTGCACAACATGATTGCAGCGTCCAGGCAGCTCCGGTTCGAGCGTATGCCTTGAGTTGCACATAGCTCCAACGCCCATACCACCGACGACATGTTTGTTTACTGTCCTGGCTTCACGGCTGCACACCATTTACGTCACAGCCAGGCATGAGTTAGGGAGCGCTGGATTTGTGAAAAACTCCCCTCTTCCTAAACCACTAATACCACAGTACTGGCAAAACGGGAGGAGCCGAGTGAAAAACAAGCGCCCCTCATCCCAATCCACCCGACACCGCCGTATTTTTTTCTTACCCAAAAAATATATTGTATATTATCGGGGCTATTAATACTGGTATCGGGTTTATCGGGATGACGTCATAATTCCTAATATCGGACGTGCATCCCTACTGTAAACACAGCCTGAAGATCTATTTGTTTATTCCACACATGGCAATTATTATAAAACAAACCATGGACACTTTAAGCCGTTTTTGTAGTAGAAGAAAAGTCTTGGATAAGAAGGAAGGGCTGTTAAACCCATCAAAGATGAAGGGGTTAAAAGAAAGATTGAATGTATAAAAATGAACATACAGTGTGACTATATCCGCGTTGGCTTGTTGCACAGCTATACTCAAAGGGTCCTGGCCATCTTCATCTTCATCGTTCTGTGTCGCTCCTCTTTTCAGGAATAAACACACCTGCCTGGAAAAACCAGAGAAACGGAGATCATTACAGCAAACACACATTCAGACAGATCGATTGACATTAAGAAACATAAATAAGTGACATTGTAATGTAAAATGCAGATATAACTTCAGGAGAATAGCAGATGTTATTTATATTATGTTAGTTAGCTAAGAGTAAGTCAATGATGTAATGTGTTGCAGACAGTTTTTTCAGATTTGAGTGAAAAAGCCAAATATTGTCATCTAGTGGTGACCTCTGTATTCAAGGGACTTTAATAATAATACATTTAATTGCCAAGCGCTTTTTCAGGTGCTCAAAGACGCTTTACAGTGGTGATAAAACGAGATATAATAGAATACAAATATTAAAACAGCAACACAACATAATTCACATATTAACACTAGAACCGCCAGAGATCTTTTTATACCTAAAACCGCCACCGGGGTCAAATTGACCCGGTATTAGAATGCATTGATTTTCAAGTCTCTCGCTCTCTCTCTCTCTCTCTCTCTCTCTCTCTCTCTCTCGCTCTCTCTCTCTCTCCTCTATCTCTCTCTCTCTCTCTCTCTCTCTCTCTCTCTCTCTCTCTCTCTCTCTCTCTCTCTCTATAAAAGGCGTTGCTATAGCAACACGTCATGTTTGTTTACACGCGGAAATAGGTATAAATGACAATTTTGTTGGCGATTTCTTCAATTTGACTTCATATTGACAATTCTTAACAACATAGGGTGCTACATAACACACTTTCAGGAAAAGTCACGGACTGGGAGACTTTAATATTTTATTGAAAAAAAGTTACATACAATAAAAAACAGCTCTGGGTCAAATTGACCCGATTGGCGATTCTAGTGTTAAAAGCCAGTCTGAAGATTTAAAAGACTACATTTCCCACCGCGCCAGCAATTTAAGAGACACAGATATGGGCAACCTGTGTAGAAGACACTGTCGAGACACAGGTTTTTAACAGTTACATTACACAACGTAAAAGAAAGAAAGACGATCTAAGCTTGTTTATTATTTTATTAGAATTTTGCAGCTTGATATAATGTTGGATCCTAAAAAAAGTCTTTATAAAACAAAGAGAGGCTTTAAAAGGATGTGAGAGTGATAGAGATATTATTATGTCCTATAGTAGGTAAGGTAATGATTATGAGCATGATGCTGGACATGCCTAACTGTGCATTCAATAAAGCAACATGATCAATATTATTCTGAAGTGGGTCATGTTGCCCCCTGACTCACCCCGTGTGTCCCAGATACGTGGCGTGGTGCAGCGGGCCCCTCCCCCTCGCGTCCCGCTGGTTGACGTCAGCAGCGTTCTGCAGCAGGAACTCACAGGCGATCAGTGAACCCTGAAATAACATCACAACAGCCGTTAGCTTCATGCTGACAACCAGGTATTGATCTGGGGGGTAGAAGAAAAACAGACATGCAACACACAGCTGCTGATGGGAGTTTCTCGCACCGGAGCAATTTTTGACCATTTTGAAGGAGATTTCACTTTAAATAGTTAATAATTGAATGATGTTTTTTGTTTAAAGTAACTTCATTCAACTTTTACGAGTCTCATATTTGTTTTAGTAATATTTACAATGTTGTATTGTACCAAGATATATGGGTATTTATAACTTTAGCACAGTTGTAAGTGAGGTGCAAGTCTCATCACAATCATATTCACGTTTGAATGTTCAATAATGATTTTGTTGTCATTTGTTGGATTATTTCTTTCTTTAAATTACCTAGAATTAATTATTTATGTTATAATTATGAGTTAAATGCATCTATTAGACATACAACGGAATAGCCCTCCATTTGAAATATTTTCCGTATTGTCAAAAGCTCTTTTTTAGATTTTGCCTATCTTACTTTGTTTAACATCTGGAGGTCAATGTGGATTCGTTTTGACCGACTCTCTACACTCAGGCCGTTTCTCAATGTCGAGTAGAGCTGCTGCAGAGCCACTATTTCAAGTATACTACGTCATCGAGTGGCGCCGAAGGACTGTTTAAATGCATGTTAAATGCCCAGCATGCGGCGCCACTCGATGACGTAGTATACTTGAAATAGTGGCTCTGCAGCAGGTTTACTCGACATTGAGAAACGGCCCCAGAATGACCAACAGAAGAACTATATACATTTCCATTTCACCATAATCCTATAAACTGGTCCTTTAAAGGAGCATTCAGAAACAATTTCATATTTTAATACAGATTAAAAAAAATAATGGCCAATAGAGTTTGAGATATCCTGACTGTCATTCTCTATTAAAGGTCAAGCTAAAAAAAGTATGCATCCTACATTTCCCACAATGCAACCTTACTTTAGACTACAAAATATACATTGCATTTCACCATATCCAACTGGTCAAAGCCAACCAACTTGTAGCAGGTTGAGAACCGCTCATGACTGACCTTCATGTGTGTAAGAGCTTTAAGATTCTTATTCTGTCACTGAACGTTTACTATATATCACATATATACAGTATATATTCCTGTGTGACTAATATCCATGTTGGTATGGATGTGTGAGCATATGTTTATGTGTGTATATGTTTATATAGATATATTTATTCGTTTTATGTGGAAATGCACTGCGAGGATTACTTTTTTAAATTTCGTTGTACCTGGTGCGATGACAATAAAGGAATTCTATTCTATTCTATTCTATCCGCTCATCTGACTCACCCCGATGACGGCCTGGATGAGGGGCGTCTTCCCTTCGTCTTCATCGTTCACCAGGTTGACGTCGGCCCCGTGAGCGAGCGCTTCAGCCATGATGGGCAGGTTTCGGGCTTTGGAGGCTTTGCAGAGCAGTGCCCCGGGGGGCAGCTCCCTAAGGTCCTCGGGGTCCGACGTCTCAGGCTCCGCCTCCCCGCTCGAGTCCTCCGACACCTCGCACTCTGAGGAGAGAGGGAGGGGAGTGTGTACTTATTTCCTATTCTAATATCCAAAATACCATCTGATACCTCTCCCTTTATCAAGATTTCTTACAATTATAAAAAATAAACAGAAATATTTAGAATTAACCAGAGGAACAGGAAACTAGATATAATATGAAAGTAAATGACAGGATAAACTTTAAATATAGTCAAACTAAGTCATATTAATATTATACTTATAATTAGGGAGGTCTTACTTAATCAGATTTACATTAATGAAGGTAAAACTATGCAAAAATGAAAAATACCTTCACTAATAAATATTGTGTTTAACATAAAAATATATATTTTTAAAACTATTATCTTTTTGAAGTTCAAAATTAGATAATATTATTCAAAATGTCCTGTAGTTTTCAGGTATGTTTTCATAAAAGATGGTTTTACTGGAATAACAAGAAGCAGTGTAAATATATATTTTTTAAATTTAACAAAAAAAGACCTAACCGGGCAGCATTTATGAATGACTTTAAATGATACTTCTTTTAGTCGAAACTTTTTTCCTGCAGAAACAGTTAAATGATTATTCCAAAAAGCTATTCCAGGTAAAACAGAAACAATATTCCTTTGAGAAAGAGCACAGATCTTACAATAAGTGTTTCTGCTCTGCCACATCAGTTGAAGGAAAATCAAAAAACAGAAGTTGATTCAAAACCCTTTATAGACATCAGAAAGTGATTCCTCTCCGTGGACTCACCCTCGGTGACGCTGCCCACCACCGATCCGAACACCAGGATGTCCGAGCTGCCGTCGGTGCTTCCTCCCAAACCGCTGTCACTGCTGAGGCCTGCGGGACCAGGAGGCGCCACAACACGGACACATTACTTACTCTGTCTCTTTCTCACTCATCAATACAGTTTAAAGGTCACCTATTATGCAAATTCCACTTCTTCATGTCTCTTCTACATCAACATGTGTCCCCTCTTCTTCATGTCTCTTCTACATCAACATGTGTCCCCTCTTCTTCATGTCTCTTCTACATCAACATGTGTCCCCTCTTCTTTATGTCTCTTCTACATCAACATGTGTCCCCTCTTCTTCATGTCTCTTCTACATCAACATGTGTCCCCTCTTCTTCATGTCTCTTCTACATCAACATGTGTCCCTCTTCTTCATGTCTCTTCTACATCAACATGTGTCCCCTCTTCTTCATGTCTCTTCTACATCAACATGTGTCCCCTCTTCTTCATGTCTCTTCTACATCAACATGTGTCCCCTCTTCTTCATGTCTCTTCTACATCAACATGTGTCCCCTCTTCCTCATGTCTCTTCTTCATCAACATGTGTCCTCTCTTCTTCATGTCTCTTCTACATCAACATGTGTCCCCTCTTCTTCATGTTTCTTCTACATCAACATGTGTCCCCTCTTCTTCATGTCTCTTCTACATCAACATGTGTCCTCTCTTCTTCATGTCTCTTCTACATCAACATGTGTCCCCTCTTCTTCATGTCTCTTCTACATCAACATGTGTCCCCTCTTCTTCATGTCTCTTCTACATCAACATGTGTCCCCTCTTCTTCATGTCTCTTCTACATCAACACGTGTCCCCTCTTCTTCATGTCTCTTCTACATCAACATGTGTCCCCTCTTCTTCATGTCTCTTCTACATCAACATGTGTCCCCTCTTCTTCATGTCTCTTCTTCATCAACATGTGTCCCCTCTTCTTCATGTCTCTTCTTCATCAACATGTGTCCCCTCTGTGGAAAGAGACTCTGAAAGTTTCAGGAACAAAGATTCTCTCTCTTTTTGATCCATTTCTATAGAAACCTGTCTGAAAATGAGCTGATCAGATTTTGGCCACTTTATGATGTCATAATGTTTTTTTGGCTTGTGTAACCATTAGCCAATCACCAACCAAGGTAACCCCCCCCCACACACACACACCTTATCACATGAATCTCCTCCTAGAGCACCATTGTGTTCCAACCAAATATCTTGCAGAGGGGAGTGGCTCCTTAGTTTCATCTGAAGCAGGGGTGTCAAACTCAATTTCATCGCGGGCCACATTAGAATTATGGTTGCACTCAAAGGGCCGGTGGTAATAAACTTTAAGATTATATAAATATACATAGATAAATATATATAAAAGAATGTATTATTTTACAATATTTCCTCTGCATTGGATTATTATCGGATAGGGTAATAACTTCATAATGAACTACGTCTGAAAGCAGAAGTCTAGGGAAAATAATTGCAAGTCTCTTCAGTGCGCATCTCACAAAATAAGATGCATTGTGGGACATGTAGTTTATGGGCAACGTGCTCATGTAAAGCGCCACGTAACCTTATAATAAACGTATTATATTCTTTGCAAGCTCTTGTGGGCCACATAAAATGAAGTGGCGGGCCGGATTTGGTCCCCGGGCCTTGAGTTTGACACCCCTGATCTAAAGTAACAGACAGAGAATCAGCATTGAAGAACACTTCAGAGACATGTCCTGTATATATCTGAGAGCTATAATAAAGTAATGAAAAACAGTATAATAGGGGACCTTTAAATGAATACAGTTTCTGGATGCTCCTGTGAATGGTAGAGAGATTGCATAGTGACTCGCTTACTTCGAGGCCCAGATCCCGTGTCAAAGTATGAGAAGAGAGAGTCGAGCTCATCGGGACAAAACAGAGATTCTCTTCTGAACTTAGCAGCGGCTGAAAGACAAACAGGCAACTTGTAAGAAGAAAATGTATCAGACAAACTTCAAACAGCTGGAGCCACATTTTTAAAGCTTCTGGATGTCACCATTTAGCGAGAACTGGCACCATTATGCAAAATAGCTTTTAGCTGCTACTGTTTTTAACACATTCATGTCTTTGTGTTTGACCAAATGATGACTCAGAGAAGGAGTGTGTTCTTGATGCAAATTGAGGCAATTAGCTGCCGAGGGTTGAAGTAAGTAATTGTCTTCATAAACCGTGTGACACAGCAGCCGCTGCAAATCCAACTGACCGTGTTGATGAATCGGCTAATCAGCGGACGGAGCTACAATAACGGCGTAAAGAAGTGGAATTCTTTGCCGAAGGATTTAAAGGGCTGTAAGACCTTTTTTAAGTTTAAGAAAATGTATAAAGAAAGCGTAATTAGACAGTATGAAGTCGACTTCTGATTGTGTTTGGTTTTATGTTTCAGTATTTGTAAGCAACTGTGACTGAAAGAATATTGCTTTTATTTCACTTTTTTTTTAAAGGTTATTTCCTTTATTTAAGAGGCAGGTAAAATAAAAAGTTCTTCTCCCTGCGCCTTTCCACCATGCGCTATAAAAAAATAGCAACCAGTATGAGTGTACATGTTTTGTTTTTAAATAACTGCCATGTGTGGAATAAATAAATAAATAAACAACTCACTTCCTGTTGTTTTAAAACACTACATTATTGAGTGTTCTCGCATTTTAATGTGTGAGTTTTTGTTAGACCTTCGATCTTTCTGTGTGTACAAACATATTTTGAGATTGACCTTTGACTATCATGAACCTGTCTCTATCACCACATGGGGTATTTTTGCAAAACCCTTATTCCACTGGTTGCCATGTTTCAGCGTGAACTTTTTTTTGACCATCCAGTGATGCTCCAGAGACAGAGACCCTCTGAAGTACCTGAGGAGAGGGTGGACGGGGAGATGCTTCCTATGTCGTGTCGATATCTCCGCCGTGTTTTAGGAACCGTGGTGGCGCTGTTGTGCCTCCGACACTTCTTCACGCTCCACCGCCGCTCCGACTTCCTCTCTCCGTTGATGAGGATCTCTGTGGAGCACAGCTTCTTCAGGAATTTCCTCTCCACGTACTTTGATTTGATCCAAGCCTCCTTCTCCTGCCTGCAACGGACCAAACACCAACATTATAGCTCACTAAAAAAGCAGAATACATTTGATTAAGCTTTATTTTAGGAATTCCTACCTTGAACTGGACGGTAATGGTTTCTTTAGACCTTGTTCTTGGTATGAGCCTTCGTAGATGTGGTTGATGACACTGTTCCCAAGCTCACACATTAACTACAAACCAAAGACAAAGAGACATTAATGGTGTCCTTATTAAGACTGATTGTTTAGAGCAGTTCGACATTTTAGGAAATTAGTTTATTTGCTTTCCTGAGTAAAACGAGAAGATTGATTGATAATCTCTACAACTAGAGCTACAGCTACAAGATGTTTAGCTTAGTTTAGCATGCATATTGGCATATGAACGCATTATATCCCCTTTGTTTCATTGGTGTGGTTGTTTTTAACCTTTATGAACCCAGGCTAGCTGTTTCAACCTTTTAAATGGCTTTTATGCTAGGCTAAACTGTCTTAGTGTCTTAGTGTATTAAAGGTAGGGGAGGTAAGAATGGAGAAACCAGCTCGAGTGCGCTAGAATTTGAAAATACACAACCGGAACATATCTGCCACTTCCTTACAGAGCCCCTCCTCCAACACACACGAACGCGCACATGACCAATGAGGGCACGAGATAAGTTTGTGCACAGATGGAAGCCTGACAGGCAGGTAGGCCATCCAGTTACTTTAGCCGGGCCGGCTCAGATGATTGGTCGTGCTTTTTACAGCGCTACGGCTTTTTTTAATGTATTTATTGTCAAAGCATTTAATATATTCATTGCTATCGGATGTTAAGAGCATTCCATGGAATATAACAAAGTGTTTCTGAAGTGAATTACCTACCCCACCTTTAAGCTAAGACAAGCTAAACTAAGCTAGGCTCCTTGCTGTGACTTCAAAATCAAATAATAATTTCCCCCAAAATGTTTGACTATTCATTAAGGAGTTTGGTAATAGTTAAGAACAACAACTACCTAATGATTGCACGACACTGCTAAGACAAACTGTACCTTTAATAATTCTGGTTCCCATGAGTCCAGTGTGAGAGAGCGAACCTTCGAACAGTGAACTCCCAGACTCCTGCAACAACAAAAGTGTTTATGTTTAAAAAAACTAAGTAATTATGTTCAGTAGTCAAAGAATTTAGAGGAGAAAGTGCAGTAATTTAACTATTTTGTGACTTAAGGGAAGAGGTTGCCTAACACAGGAAAACAAGAGAATATAAATATAGATTATCAGAACATTTTAATAAAAATAGGAAAAAGTAGCATGGAAAATTAAACATATATATTAAACACACTTTTATATTATACTTAACATTTATCATTTTAGTTTTCAATGTGTGTATAACCCTACCATCCGCAAAGATTAGAAAACACCAAAACATTTAAGACAAAACAATAAAACATAGAAAAAGTAATACATGCTTTTAGTTTTAGATGCAATTCACTGACATTATGCACCAATACATACAAGTAAACTCCTTCTGTGTATAAAACTACTTTGTAAACCGCATATAGATTCTAATTAACGTTTTTTATTATAATTGTTCCTACAGATGAATCATACACTTTGTTGACGGTCTCTGAATAGCTGCGGGATCTAACATCAGATGAGTTTTATCCGGAGGGAAATGAGAGAAGCTAATGTCATGCAGATCACAGAGTTCCACACATGAAGCTGTTTGGTATCCAGGCAACAGTGGCACAGTCAGAACAAAAACAAAAAGACTGACACTGTGTTTCTCCCTCTGCATTGTAACGTCTGATCTCACTGAGAGACGAACATGAATATTCAACAGGTGGGATTACATCAGCGGTGATCATTTCAAAATATAACGCACACACAATTCCAGAGGGATTTCTATTCAAGCCACGAGTGTGACGTAACAGAACATGAGATCTGTCGGAGGGTCTGACAGGAAATTACTCAATTAAATCATAATTTAGCTCTTTTTCACTGAAACTCGTCTTTATCTTCTCACTTTACCTCCCTCAATAAAAACTCTCAATCTTATTCCCTGATCCTATAAGCAACGTATACAACTGTAACCCCTTCAACAGTGTGTGTGTGTGTGTGTGTGTGTGTGTGTGTGTGTGTGTGTGTGTGTGTGTGTGTGTGTGTGTGTGTGTGTGTGTGTAGCCTAGCATTACTATACTTGTGGGGACCTACATCTGTTTACACAGATTGGAGGTCCCCATGAGGGGCATCATTCATTTTAGGGTGAAGACTTGGTTAGGGTTAGGCATGTGTTGGTTATGGTTAAGATTATGATAAGGCTCCAGGAAATGCATGTAAGTCAATGTAATGTCCCCTGAAGTGATGTATACATGGTGTGTGTGTGTGTGTGTGTGTGTGTGTGTGTGTGTGTGTGTGTGTGTGTGTGTGTGTGTGTGTGTGTGTGTGTGGCCTAGCATTACTATACTGGTGGGGACCTAAATCTGTCTACACAGTCACGTGTGGGGACTCGTCTCCCTTATGGGGACAAAATAGAGGTCCCCATAAGGGGAATCATTAATTTTAGGGTGAAGACTTGGTTAGGTTTAGGGTTAGGCATGTGTTGGTTATGGTTAAGGTTAGGTTAAGTCTCCAGGAAATGCATGTAAGTCAATGTAAGGTCCCCTGAAGTGATGTATACATGGTATGTGTGTGTGTGTGTGTGTGTGTGTGTGTGTGTGTGTGTGTGTGTGTGTTTTTGGCAGGAAGTTCTAAGTGTCTTTCACGGCACAATTTAGGGTCAAAGTAACAGACAGTTGGCATCACTTCCTGTTTTCAGTGCCATCGCCCTCACAGCAACACTGGCAGCGGCAGAAGAGTGTTCAGATATTTTATCATTTATATTTTTACGCTTTATGGAACCTTTTCTGTGCAAAGTGATGCATGTTTGACGACTAGAAGACACCTTTTTGTAATTGTCTTTTTGTTGCCAATAAAAAAAATGAAATGCTTGATTTAGACTAAAACACGTTGATATTATCTCACCACAACTGGAAAATTAAGACTCTTAGGACTTAAATAACTAATTTACAGAAAATTATTAATTTCAGGAAATGTTTTATCTACAAAGTAAATTTAGCAATCAGTTTTAAGTTAGTAGATGTAGGAGCAGAACAAGTTAATACTCAAGTGAGATATACTATAGGAACCTAAAAAAGTGTACTAAGGTGCAGTGATAATAATACTTCTTATTTTTATTTGGAAGCACCTTTCAGGACATTGTTGTGGATTACTTCAAAAACAGCATTTAAGAAATACTCAAACGGATAATAACATCAAAACAAAAACATAAGAAAACTCGAAATTAAAAAAAAGAGACATTTTTAAACAGACTGGCAGTACTTTAGCCAATAAGTCATTTTAGATTAGCCTGAAAACTCTTCTCTACCTGTGGATGCCGGAGCACTCGATGCACAGCAGGATGCCCAGGTTGATGGAGGCCCAGCGGGGGTCCGCCTGGCCGCAGTCGCAGCACTGCTCGTTGCCGGGCAGCAGCTGGATCCTCTGCAGGATGCTCTCTCCGCGGACGCTGCGCTCCCGAGGCTCGCTGGCCGAATCGATGCTGCTGGTGGACGGAGAGGCCGTTCTGTCCAGGTGCTAGACAAAAAACAAAGAAAAGACAGTCATTAGGATCACAGAATACGCTCAGGTTATCAGCAATACCACACTATCAAAGACATGTATTACAAATACATTTTGACACATATTTTGAACTGGTTAAAAAGGTATACAGTCAATTGTTAGTCAAGGTATAAAAGTATTTTAAACAGGTCAATTAGTGAGCTTCAGACATACTGATAGATTACTAAGCTAACCATCTGCTGGTAGTAGACACCCTACTGTACGGTACTTATTTATAATTTCATTTAAACATCACATGCATGCATCTCTGAGAAACGATTGGACCTTGTATTCCAAAAAGGGTCAATCTAGACCACATGCTTAAAATGCAGAAATTAACTAAATACTCCTTTAAGGTCTTTAAGGTCCTGCTACTATTTACATGCCCCCCCCCCCAGGATACATGACTATTATATTGTTACTCACATAATTGCAATTATAATTTTGTCATTTATTCCTCTTTTTGTCTAATCCCTTAAACGCACACACAAAGACTGTTTTTGTTTTCTTCTTTGTCTCCATGTATAACACTTGTTATTTGTCTTTACTTGTAAATTCACCTTACCGTCTTCTGTGTATCTGTGACACTGCACTTGTATGCACTTGTCTTGTAACTCCTATATCACTAAATGATTTTTTTTTTTAAAGGAAATGAACCTAGATGTATATCTGAGGCTCACCTCTATGTAGTAAGAGTCTGGGCTCTCTCTGTAGGCCGAGGCGATGCTGGCCTGAACCGCCTGAATCCACGACTGTCTCAACTTCTCAGACTCTGCCTGAAGCATGCAGCTCCTGCAAAACACACAGAAGAATTACCATAATCATCATTTTCCGTCCGTACACATCTGCATAATGTGACATGCTTAATAGGGCTGACACAAACAATTATGTTCATTATTGTTAGTTTATAGAAGTTTGGTCGATAGAATAAAATAGTGAAAAGGGTCCATCCAGTTTTTAGCCCCAGGGTTTGGACCGAAAGATCTTTAGTTTGATATGACATCAAACAGAAATAGGAAATAGATACCACACACATCCATATTTTCAAATGGCCAAATTACTTTAACGATTAATAATTGTTCCGTTTATTGAATATTTTAATAAACAAATTGACAGTAATAACAAAAAGGTTGTGGGTGACAGTGGTCATGTTTCAGGTCTTACAGAAAACCTAAAAACCTCACCCTTCAGATCGGAATGATAATACTGAAAGTACATGTTCTTTGCATAGGTGAAGAAAGGCCACATATCTTTTTAAACTTCCTCGAAAAGAGCCTTGCAATGTTCATGGAATAAACAAAAATGACAATAACTGAACAAGAGAAGATGCAAAGATTAACTTGGGCACAATAACATATACAATGTATAACTGGGCTGATAAGGCACTACATAAAAGGGTAGATATTACAATTCACCCTCTGAGGAGCATGAATGTGTGTATCAGATTGCATTCAAGGCTTTTACTGTCATTCGAACATACAGTAGCTACAGTGTAGTTATGTCGATGAAAATCCTAGGTCCCTCCAACAGTGCAACACAATAAGTAGATAAAATAGTGCAAGTAAATACAATCAAATAGAGAAGAAGTAGTGCCATAAGAGTCTATTGCATGTTAATCCATCCAATACTGAAGCCTTACTTGGAGGGGGAGACGACCTCGAAGCAGAACCTCCTCTCGATGTCCTCGCACGGTTTAACGGAGCACAGCCGGAGGTCCTCCACCACCACGGTGAGAGAGTCCTGCAAACACAAAAAGGGGCCGCCGTGTCACTCACTTGGTCGTTTGGTAGCGCTGGGCGCAGGTTCAAATCCATCCAAGACATTCATGTGGCTTGCTAGTTTTAGAATATAGAATAGAACGTAGAATAACTGCTTACCAATACGGCCGCCTAAACACAACACAAACATAAGGCAGCTGTTCCTACTTCATGATATATATATGTTTCCTGGCAGTTAGTGTACGTGGCCATTACATATTCACACACACTGATGTCAAGTAGAGAAGACTGACCTGAAAGCCACACTGAGATATCTCTTGACTGAGATTATGGATTTCTCTAAAGATCACCATAATGCTAAAAAACATCCCCCCCCCCTCCATTAAAGTTGCACTTAACCTCTTAGAGCCCACTTTACCCCGGGGAAAGCTGATAGCTGCCAGATATACGGACTCACCTTGAGCTTCTTCTGATAGACCAGCTGACTGTTCTGTATGGAGAACCACCGCCTGCAGAGAGAGGGATAAATAACTTATTATAAAAAGGATACGCTTCCAATCTTTAAGGGTCAGCGTGCAAAGGGGAAAAACATTGTGTCCATGTGAGAGGAATTCCTCACATGGCTTCACGTCACACACAATCTGCCTCATAGTGACAGAATCATGCTGAAACACCATGAGGAGATAGAAGTACATTCTTGTAAATATTATATTACATAGCATTTAATACTATATTTTAACATATTGTACTCACACTACCTCACTGTATTTACATTTTATTTTTAATGGGCCACTATTATGCACATTTCAGGTTTATATCTCTATTGCTTCCATGCTTTAATGTTCAAAAATATCTCAACTTTTCTCATACTGCCTGTGCTGCAGCACCTCTTTTCACCCTCTGTCTGAAACCAGAGCCCAGTCTGCTCTGATTGGTTAGCTGACCATCTCTGTTATGATTGGTCTACCGCATAGAGATGTCCCGCCCCTTAGCCTATCACGTACAATGTGTTGGAGCGCTAGCCAATAAAAGCGCAAGGGTTACATCGTGATGTTCAGGAAGTAAACAAAGGAGTCCAATGGAGGCGTTTCAGGCAGGGGGAGGGGAGTGTGTGAGAGAAGGATTGTAGCCTTTGCAGACCATTTACATGCACAAGAACATATATAACAGGAAAGGGAAAACCCCTAAAAAGCAGTATTTAAAGAAAAAGAATTGCACACTTTAAAGCCATGAATGCCAAACACTTGCTGGTTGCAGCTCCTCTGATGTGAAATGTTTCATCATCAATTCACTGTGTATACTAATGTGATACTCTACAGTAAATACAGATGTGTGCCCTCTTATGGCACATTTCCACTGCAGCGGGGTAGCCCCGTTTAAGCGTCCCTAAGCGTCCTCGCTCAGGCCTCGGGCTGCCTCGCTGGCCGTCCGAGGTGGCGGTTCTAGAACATTTTACATGGGGGGGCAAAGGGGAGGCAAGAGGTCATGCCAGGGTGGCATAGGAGGGCGGACAGTACGTGGTATTTTATACTGTATATAACCTATTTATTGTTAATTCATGCCCTAACACAAGTGTTCTTAATGCACAAGAGAAACAAGGTGTTCAGACAAACAATCGGGTGCCCTTTGAGTCCCCCAAGCTTACCTCAACCATTTTAAATGAAAGGAAACTACAAAATGTATTTTAAAGCAATGAATTAATGGAACAGGTTGTTTTGCATTACAATGTAAAATTAAATATATATTTTGTTTTAAAAAAAATTGGTTGTCTTAGACAGACATATTTGCATGTCCTCACTAAGCATTATTACATATGACTTTAATATTAAACAAATCAAAATGGCCAATTATCCCAACATGTTGCTGCTAATATAAATCACATGCTTGTCAACTTTAACTGATCAAAAATCAATTCTGAAAAAATACTTGAATTATCTATGAAATTGTAATATTGTCCCTCAGTTTGTTTCAACCCCGTCACGCCAATCATTTACCCTCCTATTAAAATAATGGATCAGTCCGTGTGTGATCTGCATTGAGGGAATTACATCACAAAAGTGTCAGTTTCTTCTCTTACCTATATTTCAGTTTTTGTATTTTCAGATTAAGATTGACAAGCTCAACATTTCAACTCTGTTGTATGAATTAATAATAGTAAATAATTGTTTATTACAAAAATAAACAATAGTTTTGCAAAATATTACAATTTTGTAATGTCCTTGACTTCCATGTGGTGCCATAGATAAACAAGGTCTCATGCCTACTTTTTGTCAAAAACTTCAACCCTGTTACATTTTTTCAAGGAAATTCCTAGTAATTATTTATATTTTGTGCCTGAGGTGGGAAAATGTAAGTAGTCCACTACCAGATTTTCTGACCAAACATTTTGGTTTCATTTTTCAAAGATATAAAGACCTCAAAAGGCACCTGATTCAGAGAATACTCAGAATTATGCATACTGTAAGTACTTAGTTATAATTAAGTACACAAATGACATCACCCATCTCTTCAGAGAGCTACAGGTGACCTGTGCAGCAACACATTTCAATCAATAATTGTCAATACTAAGAGCTGCTAGATTGTGCTGCTGTGATGGAACATGTAAGGAGAATAAGAACATACCATGTGGTCCAGCTGGAGTTTCATCTGCCTCCTGATCCCTGCCTCTGGCCCTCTTTCTGACACTTCATCTTTATTCCTCAAATATATTTCTTCATCTCCTCCTCCTGCTCTGACCCTCCTGGTCTCTTCATCTCCTCCTCTTCCTCCTGCTCTGACCCTCCTGGTCTCTTCAGCTCTCTTTTCCTTTTCCTCTTTCTGTTCGTCCTGATCACTTCTCATATGTCTTTGTGTTGTTGTTGAATCACTCCTATACTCTGGCCTGCAAGAGTCTACTTGTGAAAAGCACTGGTACAAATGCTTGTATAACTTTACGCGTTAGGGCCATGTAGCCTAGCTAATATGTAGCATATCATATAACATCAGAAAGTATTGATCAAGCGCACACAGGCAGCTGTGTTTGGATCCAGTTTTTACAGTAAAGGATGTATCCTGGTTTCATTGATCTGGCCTCATGGCTGTGATGTGTAGTTTACGTGGATTTAATAGTAGGCTACCGCGTAGTTTAGCAAAGTGATCGATCTCCCAGCTAACGCTGTCTACGTAGTATTTTGTAACGTAACGCCCCAAACAGCGCCCGTCTGTTAAACGCTATCGATTCAAACGGCAGCGTTTTATTAATATTTAGTTTCAAGCTCTCGTCCTTAGTAAAAACAAAACTAGTGGAAACGGAAATGCTCCCAGGGGAAGCTGATCCATAGGTGCTGGGACAGCTTGATCCCTCTCTGCAGCTCTGTGAGCCGCGGTCTGTGTGAACGCCGCTCCGCAGTTTAATGCAGGGCCGTAGCTGCGTTTTTAACGGGCCTAAAATTATATTTAAAATGATTCACTTTTAACTAATGTAATGCTTGTTTTGTTGCTTGAGAAGCTTGTGGAAATAGTGTAGGTTTGTTTTAGTACAGTTTTAGGGAAACAAAAGTTAGGGGGGCAGCTGGGGGGGCAAGGCTCTACAGTGGGGGGGCAGCTGGATTTTATCATCCCCAATGAGATGTAGGAACGTCGTCACCTCCTCGGTCGACCACGGTGTGCTTTTCTTTGACGTTGCCATTTTTTTAGCTCCTCCGTTTACAAAATGCTGTGTATAAAAATGCAGCAAGCTTGCTTCTAGATATATATGCGACGCTAGGGATGATCTCGCGCGCGATCTTGTGACGATTCTCTCTGACCAATCAGCAGTCGAGAGTGTTGACGTCACTAGTTCAGCCCTGGCCTGATAGAACCACGATTTTATGGGGCCGGAAAAAGTACCCGCTAGCCGGTACTACGCTATATGGAAAGGCCACCAAAAACTGGCTCGGCCGCTTGAGGACGCTTAAACGGGGCTACCCGCTGCAGTGGAAATGCGCCATTAGTTACCTGTTCCAGGTCTTAAAGGCGTTGCTGGCCCTCTTGAACAGGTAGCCCTCCATCACCACACCGTTGGGGGCGTCCACGTTGAACTCCACCTTAGAGTCGTCATAGGAGAAGTCCTGCAAGAGAAGAAGAAGAGACACATAAGACTCCAACACACAACAGATCTAAAACAGCAGATGATTGAAGGCAGGTTGAGCCTTTACATCGTCCAACAGGAAAGAGAGCTGCAGAGAAGAGCTGTGTGCTGTTCCTGGAATACCAGCAGCATTGGATGTGCAATGTACTGTACATACAGTCCATTAACCGACCGACTCAGCATACACTGTACGGCACTGTTTTAGTCCATGTATGCGTTGGAGATGCATGCCATGTTCCTGCCTGGCACACTGGGGCATTTCGTAACTCAACAGATGTGAATGTGACGTAAATCATTACATAAACAACATATGATTCATGAGAATTAGCCTCCAACCTTTTCATGACTTATATACCATGACATGTAGCACTTTAAAGCTAGCCAGCAGAGAGTGACACAGGTATTTAAAGCTTAGCTCAAAACATCAGTGTTTTCATGTAGGAGTATGACACAGCATGTCCTGAGAATGCTAACAAGCTATATTTAAGAGGTAATATAATATACAGGAGGAACAGAACATTCACTTATCCATAATCTGATTTAAACATCACATGCACGCAGACCATATACAGTCTATGACGCAGACATGAGAGACGACCAGATGGTGTTTTTCAAATGGGGTCAATTTAGGCTGCACGCTAAAAATGGAGTGATTTACCAGACATCAAATATAAAAAAGTACCAGAGTATATGTGAGTCATAACAGGGTGTGTGTACACCATCCACTACTTATTTGGTGTTTAAATGATAGATTAGCTGGTTGCTCTCTCACCCCAATTCTGGCTTCATTGCACTGGCTTCCAGTTCGGTTCAGAATAGATTTTAAACTCCTTTTATTTGCCCTAAATGGGCTGGCTCCTGCCTATATAGCCGAACTCCTCCATCGCTACACCCCAGGCCGAGCCTTAAGGTCGGCTGATCAGCTGCTGTTGATAGTGCCTAAGACCAGGCTTAAAACCCGAGGGCATCGAGCTTTCGCAGCGGCTGGCCCTAGGCTCTGGAATACTTTGCCCCTCCATGTGAGGTCGGCCCAGACCCTGGGGGGTTTTAAATCAACACTTAAAACTCACTTTTTCTCTTTGGCTTTGTTTAATTATCTATTTATTCATTTATTTAGTTCTTTATTTTAATATTTATAACATAACATAGGATTTCATAAAGTATTTTTAAAATAGTTTATACATTCTTTGAATATAGGAATAGTAGATAGGATTACTTAAAATATAGTACCTTATATTTAATCTTTTTTCCCTTTAGACCCTTGCGGTTTATTCTTAAAAACCCTTACCCTTACCCACCCCCCATTACCCCTCTGCTGGTCTATGGCCTTGTAGAGGGTAACGGGGTACAGAGTCGCTTAGATAAGCGGGGGAGTGCATCTGACGAAGAGATAGGTTGTTGTGCTCCCTCTCTCTGTTTCTTATCCTATATCTAATAGAACTGCTCGGGTCTTGATAGATTGAGTGGGGAAGTCCATGAGATCTTTCTAGAGGGTTATCAAGAATAACTTTTATCCAATGACCTTTTCCCTCTCTGTCTGTGTCTGTGTATTCTCTTGTTCCGATTAACCCAGCCAAATCTTTTTTCTTGTTTTGTATCTATATCTACGCCGGGATCCGGAGTCGAGGCTGATCCTCTTGCTGTAGTCCTGTGTCCTGGATCCTCTATCCTGAGTTCTGGATTAAGTCGTGGACTTCGGGTCGTGGCTGAACCTGTCTCTGCGGTCCTGCCTTGGGTCTCATCTTGCTGCTTCCCTGATGGCTTCCTCAGGATTGTTGACATCCTCGTGGATTCATCTTCTTATTACAGACACATGCATTTCCTAACATTCGGTCTATATGCTGTAAAAAGTATTATCTCTTGGATTTACACGTGGCATCTATTGCACGTCTGTCCGTCCTGGGAGAGGGATCCCTCCTCTGTTGCTCTCCTGAGGTTTCTCCCATTTTTTCCCCTTAAACTGTGGGTTTTGCTCTGGAAGTTTTTCCTTGTACGATGTGAGGGTCTAAGGACAGAGGGTGTCGTTTTTCTCATACTGATATTCTGAACAATCTGTGCCGTTGTATTTGCTGTAAAGTGTCTCTACTGTAGGCTATTTTTATTTTATGTACAGCACTTTGGCTCGACCAAAAATCGTTTATAAATGTGCTATATAAATAAAACTTGATTTGATTTGATGTAATCATACACATGTTGTCAACATGTTGAAGAAAATAGCGCTGTATTCCAAAACACATGAGAGAAATATAGTTTTAGTTATGGCTCTTCATCAGGAATCACATTTACAATGAGAAACAAGATGTGTAGCCTACAACATAGACTCAAGTCAAAGTGAGTAAACAATGATAAAAGAAAGAGAGACCAAATCTAGGACAACACAAACGACACATGTCAGAAATTGCTTAATACAACTGAAAGTAAAAAAAACGATATTTAAAGCTAGAAAAGACTAGACGAGCAATACAACGAAACACATTGTTTCAACATAAATATGGTTTTAAAAACGGCACTGGCGGCATAAAAAGTTAAATATAGCAAAAATAAAAACATATAGACAAAATGGGGATTTCTTCATACCATGGATTCAACACATCATCATCTATTTCCTTTAAGAAAAGCATAATGGAATCCATTAATAAGAAAGTATGAGGTAAAAAGTTCAACACTATACAAATTATGCATGAATCAAACATGATTGCATTTCCCTGTGCAACTATCTTCCAGTGTGAACACCTATTTAAAAATGTGCATGTACGTCATTGAGCATTACACCTGGGAACCCCAAACATTTTTAGATTTTAATGAGAGCAACTGTGCTGACAGAGAGACTTAAGTAGGAGAAAGAAAGAGATACTTTAACAGTGATATAGAGAAGTAAAACTACTCCAACAACAACACACACAGATGTCTCGTAAAAAAAAAACAGAGATAAATACTCCAGATACAACAACAAATATCATGATAATAACCAGTTTACAATCTGAACCAAAGTAACAACCAGCCAAAGTAATGCAAATCTACCCACCAAACTGCGGTCCCAGCGGCCGAGGATCTTCATTTTCAAACGTTTAGTGTGTTTCAACAACATTTCAGAGCACAAAAAGGCAACAAAAAGGGTTTAAAAATAGACTCCTTTAACGCAGATCCCTCAGAGCAGCAGCATGACTCTCCTCTCTCTCTCTCTCTCAGCGGAGGTTAACGCATCGTGTCGCTGCGTAATTCCAACAGTGCGCTCTCCACTACAGCCACCTGCCAGCAGCCTCAGGATTAGCACTGATTAGCATACAGCTGCTAACGTGGAGCAACAGTGGAAACACCTCCCAGTACTGTAGCCGCTCCCGACTCAAACAGAGCTTCAGTTTTACAACTCCCTAAACACACCTCCCTCTCTGGGGAGGGTCCTCTGTTGACCCAGAGGGAATCTACCTGGCAGGGGCCCAGATCCCCAAACAAACACCTCTCAGGGCGTGATTTACCATTGCTGTAACAATCTGTTTAGAAGTGGATATAAGCCTATTGCTTAAACAAGCCCGTTAGCCACTGGAGCTTTATAAAATAGCGACCATTTTCCAAAAATGTATGCCGTTTCCAGCCGATTAAACATAATTTTACCACAGAGTTGTAACCACTATATCAATTTGGGGGGGTTTTGGTAGTGAATTACATGATTGTTCACAATGGGGAAGTCAAATATACAATTTAGAAACTTTTGGGTGTCATTTTAAACACAACATGTTTAATTATGGGGCTTATTAGACAGAATCTGGGACAATTAACCTAACTAAGGCTAGTTTTCTATGTTAGCAGAATAAGTTAACCGTCAATGAACACCTTGATGTAACCAGTACTACCTCTACAGTACTACAACCCCAAAATACAACCACAACCTTCACTACCATGCATGTTCGGCTTTCCATTGGCACGTTATTTTGGTTTTGGCTCAGACACGATAAAATAAAGCTTCTGACCAACTACTGACGTCTGAATTTTGTTTTTACATGGTCAAACATTGATGATTTGTCAACAAGAGCATTTATATAGCTCAAGTGGAAGTGATGTTATTGCAGAAAAATACATTTGCAAGCCATCATTGGAAGTCATCTTGGATTGTTTGAGTGCTAACAGGCTTTTTTTTTTTTTAAAGTAACCGCCAAAGAGTTTAAGTGTCGATGTTAGTACTTCTCCTGGTATACTCAATTATCTGAATCACTACAACCAACCACAGCCAACTATTAAAGATAAAAAGTCAAACAGCTTACCTTCAGATTCCTCCCTTTCCCTGAACACAACATCCCATGCAACACCGAAACAAGATGTGCACTGTGTGCTACTCTGAAACCTCTCAAGCTTACAACAAAGATCATCTATTTTTAATGATGAAACGTCACACAGGCACAAACTGAACACGAGTGAATTATTGAAGCAGCAGGGAAACCGAGACTTTCCAAACGATGGGAAGCAAGGAAGCAAAGTGTGGAGAGGATGCAGACAAAATGTCCTGATGTGTCCTCCACCTGCTGCTGAGCGTACTGACGTTACACCTGGAGAGCCAACGCCAAATAGTGACCCTCGGACTGATTATTCATGATGTGATTGCTTGTTGTCCGCAGCATCCTTTTCTGTGTCTCAATATCAACGTGTTCCTCTGTTACACACCGGCTTTGCGTCGACTTGCTATGTTTGTAAAATGTAATTTTTAAAAATGTTTTATGTGAGGGACTGCGGATGGAAATGAGCTCAAAGCTAAATCTGGCACTGTTACGCTCGACACATTTGAATGCCTTAAGCGTTCATTACTGTGCATTGTCCCTGCCAAATAAACGATTAATGAAAAATGACTTGCTGAAAATACCTGGCTAACTTAACCATCATCACCTATTCTTCAACAAACCTGATTGACTTCCCTTCATAAGTCCCAAAGCCCCCAAATGTCTTAAAATACACTGATGATAATAGAAATGGAAGAAGCCACAGTCTTACATATTATGTATTTATGCAAATGTAAAGGAAAGCTGCCATGACAAGTACAGTAAGTAAGACAGTTAACGACAGTGTTGTTCAATTGCAAATAAGGCTTTAATGCCCTCTTAATGTTTTTCATTTGTGTAAAGCACTTTGAATTGCCTTGTGTGGAAAGGTGCTATATAAATCAACGTGCCTTTCCTATAATGAGCTGTGTTGGAATACAATAGGGATGTTGAAGATAAGGAGATTAAATGACTGATGTTTTTCTACTTTTATCTAACGAAGGCCTCGGGCTATGTGTACATGAATGAATGTGCCAAATGTCTACAGTAAATAGCAAGTGTTGCATTTCCTTTTGTCTATTCTGAAAGCTGAGGATTTGAACCGAGGAAGAACAAACAATTATTAAGACAGATTTTGACTTTCCACTGAGAATTTCATGGGCATTTCTTTGATAAAATGGCAGCAAAAATATACTTTTTCTGACTTGTATGATATAGTGAGCTCTGATTAGTCAAATGACAACCATTTTACCCAGTTCGTTTTTTTGATAATTAAGATTTTCTTATGCCAAGAATGTGCTTGTTTCAGCTCCTCTAATGTGAGACTGCTGGCTATGAAACTAAAACTTAAAATACAGGAAACAAATTATCACTATTTTACATGCAAATGATGATTGGCAGACCGATCATCAAGGACATTACATGAAGTAGCAGAAACTATTTTAATATACATGTTATTACATTATGTACATACATGCATGTATGTGCTGCATGTGCCTCCTATATCTCGTGCATTTTGTGCAAGTGTTGTTGTCATTCATAAAAAGCACCATACAACGGAAACATGTAATCATTATTTTACTACAACATCCATCTGGAGTTTAGAGCAGTGGAAATAAAACCAATGATGCACATTTGGGGCATCTTGTAGCGCTGCTCTGGTGATGTAAACACAGACATAGAGAATAGCAGGAGGAGCGACAGCAGGAACAGGACTTCTCCATTAAATCCTCCGTTAAAAATGAATGGCTGTGGTATTTCTTTTCGGCGACAGCACTTTAACTCCCTTTCTGCTCTCCTGATTTGTACTTGTATACCGAGAAGGAGCTGCCCCTTTGACCTGTGTAAGTTTACACCAGGCTTATTGCACAGAAGAAACAAGAAGACAAGAAACAAGAAGGAGGGAATAACAAAGTAGGCCATGCTGTTCTGAAGGCAGCGGGGAATAAGGAACACATCAAAGCGACATGCTGCAGTTTCCTGAATGGATATCTCTTAAGATACAAGATTCTGAAAGATGACATGTTCATTCTGATGCATATTGAGCTACTAAACATGTAGGTAATAAGATATTTACGAGGGAACTGCTAATTCAGGACACTTTAGTGTAAAAAAGTGACTCTACACAATTTACACTACTACAAATCTACACTTTGAATAAATATTACAGTAAACAGACTGACGAAAGAAGACATGTGTTAACCTTTTGCACTAGTCAGAGGTCATCAGACTTCACACTAAGTCAAAGTTACAATACCGCAGTGTACTGTAAATGTCCTGCATACGACACATTCCTTAATACAACTGCAGTATTTAGCATCAAACTAAAACTTTAAAACACAAAATACTGTATGCTACTTAAATGAAGTACAAAGTAGGATAAAATCCAAAGACTCATTTTAAGTACAAGTATAAATCAGGATTAAATGGAAATACTTAATTAAAGTGCAAGTATGAAGTAGGATAAAAAGGAAATATTCAATGAAAGAAAGTAGTATGGGTATAGTACTTAAGTAAATGTACTTTCCAACACTGGTAAATGGTGATATAACACGGTTTCCACACAGGCAGTTCAAACTGAGTTTCTAATTGTTGTGAATAAATGATTCAGGATGCACTTCAGTTTGCCCTCAAGGCATCTGGAGTCTGACTACAGCTCACAGAGACAACTTCAAAGGGGTTTGTTAATGTCCTGTACGATGACTGGGGGTCAAACTCCCCCCCCCCCCCCCGAAAACACACGACCCAAAGATGTGTTTCAAGCTCAAATTCAGATGGGAAAATGAATGGAGGATCACTCACCTGCATGAGAGTCTGAGAGGAGATGGTGTCATCGGGAAGAAAAGAAAATACAGCGTTAGAACAACCTGAGCAGTTTCATTTGAGATAATACAATAATCTCTCAGCCTCAATGCACCTCTGATTATCCTCCTTACTGCTCTTCAAGGAATACAAGCTGCCCACAGAAAGAAAACCACCCTTCAGGGCTGCACGATCAATTACAATTATATCCACATTGCAATATGGACTAGTGCTAAATCTAAATCGCAGTAAGCGGGATTGTGGGAATCGGTACTTCGATCTCTCTGTCTGTACACACAAACTGGAAGATTGGCAATAAAGTTGACTTTGATAATATGTATAAAGCTGCGGATGCCCAGTCCTACAAATGGAATAGATGAGAGTTTAATTAAGCATTTCATCCATGTTGTTTAGAGTATGTCTGCAAGAAAGAAAAAACAAGTTCAAAAAACTAAAACAATCGCAATTATGAATTGTATCTAAATTGTGCCGCCCTACATCCCGTCATAAAGATATTTCCATACCATGCCGATCCTTTTCATGTAGCTTCATCTCCCTGACCTTGATTATCTCCCACTACAGTCCCTCTGATGGACGGTGCATTAAAGCTCCGTGTCTCACAGCTCTGGTAAAAACAGATCAATAACGCTCCACACATGTGACCCGGCTGCAGGCTGCAGGCTGACAGATGGTCCCTGATCCTGGGGTTCACAGGAGCCAGACACAGGGCCCCTAAAAATCAGGCTTTCTGAATTATTAAATAACAACATGTCAGAAGAGGAAAACACCCTCGAGAGGAAATGCACTCATAGCAGGGTTCCCTCATTTTAAAGTATAACATTTCTAAACATTCCCAAGTCCATTCGTTGTAGGGAATACTGTTTGCCACTTAAATATATCATATTCCAATTACTTGTATATAGACTATTCTTGCACTATTTCTATTTTATTGTATTTACTTGCACTATTGTATCTGTTTTATTGTGTTGCTCTGTAGGAGGAGCCTGTGACCTCAGATGTTCATTGTCATATCTACACTGTAGCTATGCACACATGACAATAAAAGCCTTGAAACTTGAATCTTGTATAGCAGCACCATTTTACACCTCAACAAAACGTCTACAGACTTAACTTATTCCCTGACTTTACCAGGCCTTGAAAAGTTAGGTTTTCCATGATTGTAGCAACCCTTCTGTAGAGCCTTATTATTTGACTAAAAACGAGTCATAGCGGTTAGAGACAAAAAGATAAATCCATCCTCTGGGGACCATGCATGTCTGCAGAACGTATTGTTTCAATCCAATTCATATTTTGAAATATATCAAGCTGGACCAAAGTGGTTCATTACAATTGGGATCAATAAAGTACTATCGTATCGTATCTTATCAACACATGGTTAGAAATGCTCAAACATCACAGTCAACTCTTGCCTCACAGTCCAGGAGATAATGTGCTTATTATCTACAGCAGACAACAGTGGGATTAATATCTGGTCAAATCACTTAATACCTCCTGATTTTAATGCTTAAATCAATGCCTGGACTTTGTTAGGGGGATTCATCTAACACTTCCCAGCTGCCCAGCTCTAATCCCCCCCCCACCCACTCCCCAGTCACAACAGACGGTGCCGAGTGGCAGACAGACCTTAGAGGTGAGATGTGACATTAACGCAGCGTTAAATTAGCTCCATTTCACCCTGTGTCTCTCCTGGGACATGTCTCCATGCTTTAATGTTCAGAAAGCTCTTTCTTTATCTCACTGCCTGTGCTGCAGCACATCTTTTCACCCTCTGTCTGAAACCAGAGCCCAGTCTGCTCTGATTGGTTAGCTGGCCGGCTCTGTTGTGATTGATCAACCGCTTAGAGATGTGTTGGAGCGCTAGCCAATAGAAGCTCAAGTTCTACATAGGGGTGTCAGTATGTTACAAAGTTATTTGGTCCTTTTTGCCTATGAGATAACATGTTGAAGAGATTTAAGTTTTGCGTATCTCCGTCAATATAAATGCTACTTTTTATGGCATTTGTTTTTACTTCTCTAAATTGGGTGCATGTTCTTCCTATGAGAAAAAACACTAAAGCAATCTCAATGTTTGCCGATATCTTTCCATTTATATTTAAGCATTTTAAAACCTTTTTAACATTAAAGAATTCAATGAAATACCCGTCTCAAACTGGCCAAAGTATTACCGTATAATGGAAAACCATTTGGAACAACATGGTCTAAAATGAAGTAAATAAAAACGATGAAATAGGAACTCACCCTCTGCTGAATGGTCGCATGTTTATGCTCCATTTCCCTCTTCTCCATGGCTGAATCAATCACCAGCTGATCCAGCTAGAAGCCCGTCAACATATACACAAAGAAATAAAAGTTCAGCGTTTCAGGGAGACATTCAGTCGAGAGGGCTTCCTGTGAAACTCTCCGTTCTGCAGAGATGACTAACATGGCAGTAAAGGTAAAAAGAGGTGAAGAGAAATCAGAGAGCAGCACTGACTCTGGGTCAGCGTCTGGTAATGAAGCATCGATTGTCCTGCAGCAGAAACAACATGCTGCTACAGTATGTTGGTCCAGTGACACAGCACTCAACATAGCATACTGTGTAAGATGTCTATTAAGGCTTCACAATTAATCAATGTGTAATCAATATAGGCTAGTGCAATAATCTAATGGCGATTTCCCATCGGCGAAAACACGTGGGTTTGCTGTCCTGGCTCCAAGATGGTGGAATGAGCTCCCCATTGACATCAGGACGGCAGATAGCTTGCACATCTTCCGGCGCAGACTGAAAACTCATCTCTTTCGACTCCACTTCGAGCGATAGAACTATTAACGAAGCACTTTTATACTAATAAAGGACTGGCTTATCTAAAGCCAGTTGAGTAGCACTTGAAATGTTTGGCTCTATGAAACCTGATCTACTTATATGATTCTGTTTTCTTCAAGGTTGTGTCTTCCTGGTCGAATGTACTTATTGTAAGTCGCTTTGGATAAAAGCGTCAGCTAAATGCAATGTAATGTAATGTAATGTAATGTAATGTAATGTAATGTAATGTAATGGCATGAAGCAGAATATTTGTTGAAGGCTAAATATGAGTTATCATTTGGAATGAAGTATTCACATTTTGACGTTTTTTTCTGGCTTTGTCGACAGTTTTATTGTGGTGTTGTTATTCCTCGTGTTTTTCGTGTGGCTAAATCACAAATAGTCAATGTATGTTTTGTTTTGATGTAAAAGTGCAAAGATATCCCGGACTACAGATCATATTCTACAGACTTAACGAAACATCAGATCGTTTTCATTGATAACGAGAATAATGATTCACAAATGTCTCCAATATCATGAATCATATCTTAATGTCAAAATAATGTCAACAAGTCAATGTTGTTTTCAAATTGTGCCGCTATATTTTATGTACATACTGTACAAGCTATTATTGCACGCCAAGAGGAAGACTTTTTTTGTATCAGTACACCCCGAATTTCATCAAAAATCCAACATATTGAATTAAAAAGCAGAAATGCACAATATATATTACACAACTGTCTCTTGTCAATAGTTCAAATGAGGATCAACCAGTTAAAATCAAGACACAGAGCACCTAGAATCTTAAATCCCTTTTAGTAGCTGCAGACACAGAGGGAACCTTGATTTGTGGGGAGATTAAAATGTTGTTGTGAATCATAGTAGAGATACAGTGCCTGTTTCTCTCACCTCAGCAGCCAGCTTCTTCATGTACGGGTTGATCTCATCCAGCAGGTTGTAGCCTTGTTGGAACAGCGAGTACTGCGCGTGCATGAAGGACAGCATCTGGATGGGACGGGTGTTATTACTAACATTATAAAGTGTTTTAACTCAAATGACACTCTTTAAGTATGTGGAATATATGATAACGATACAGGTTTATTGTTTTGACTTACAGCGTCCAGGATCTCAAACTTCTTCTTGGCCTGGAGGACATTGATCTGCAGAGAAGAAGACAGACATGTGTTACTAAACGTAAATAATGACCTCCTGGAGTATTGATTATGGTGGTGATGATGATCCGCTACAAAACACCACATTTGACACCTACTGTACAGGCTAATGAGATACCTCCATCTAGTGGACAGCCATTTCCTTTCTCTCACTGTAACACCATTAACAGACCAATAAGAGTTAACCTTATTATACATCCATGGAGTTAACTCGGAAATAAACAAACCACCAGCCATCAAATGTAACCGAGTACTTTCACTCTACTGAATTTGAAGTACTGATGTCTCCTCCTCCACTATGTCTTAGACCACATGTGTCAAACTCAAGGCCCGGGGGCCAAATCAGGCCTTGGTGGATTTAATTTCGGCCCGCAGGATAATTTTTAATTACTATTAGATCTGGCCCGCCGGTATATTGCATGCACCCCTTCACTCCATCCTGAGGGTCTCCTCAGCTCAGAGCCTGAGCCCAAACATCGATGAACTTGCACCCAAGATGAGATGCCAAGTATCTGAACTAGCATCACAGAGCAGCACACTGAGTTTACATGGATGTTTCCTTCTGCACTTTCTCTCTCACGACAACAGGGCATGTTTGGTTTGTTCTTTGAGGGAAATTGTTTTTTTGAAGCTGTTGTTGGCCTGTGGAAAAATGTACTCATGAGAAATGACTCTGCAGATAGAGCCATAAGAAATTAATGCAACTGATTATTTAATGTTGTTTTTATAGGCAATAATTTAAGCTTTGTTAGTTCCAGGCTTAATATGTGCAATAAGTTCATTTCAATACGTTCTGCAATAAACATTGAACCAGTCCGGCCCTCGACTAGTACCCACTTTTAAATGTTGGCCCACTATGTATTTGAGTTTGACCCCCCTGACTTAAACTCTAAGACTTAGAGGGAAAATATAGAATTGTTTCTTAACTACATACTCTATATTTGAAGGCTTTTATAACCTTGCAAAGTGAGATTTCTGCATGAATAACATACAAAGAGCATATCAAATAATATATATTTTAATAGAGTTTTGGAATGCTAAATCCTGGTTTTTCAATAATGCATTTGGTAAAAATAACGTGAGATAGACAGAAGGTTAACAGTCACAGCAGCATTGAATACTTTACATTTTAATACTTGAGGTGCATTTTCATGATTATACTTAAATAGTGGTGCACTTTATTAGAGGTGTTGATCTTATATTATTATTAGTAGACTGGGCTCTGGTTTCAGACAGAGGGTGAAAAGAGGTGCTGCAGCACAGGCAGTATGAGAGAAATAAAGAGCTTTTTGAACATTAAAGCATGGAGACATGTCCCAGTAGAGACACTACATACTGATATGAACCTGAACATCAGCAGGAGAGGACTCTTTAAAGTAAAGACACTACATACCGATATACACCTGAACATCAGCAGGAGAGGACTCTTTAAAGTAGAGACACTACATACTGATAAACACCTGAACATCAGCAGGAGAGGACTCTTTAAAGTAGAGACACTACATACTGATATACACCTGAACATCAGCAGGAGAGGACTCTTTAAAGTAGAGACACTACATACTGATAAACACCTGAACATCAGCAGGAGAGGACTCTTTACAGTAGAGACACTACATACCGATATACACCTGAACATCAGCAGGAGAGGACTCTTTAAAGTAGAGACACTACATACTGATATACACCTGAACATCAGCAGGAGAGGACTCTTTAAAGTAGAGACACTACATACTGATATACACCTGAACATCAGCAGGAGAGGACTCTTTAAAGTAGAGACACTACATACTGATATACACCTGAACATCAGCAGGAGAGGACTCTTTAAAGTAGAGACACTACATACTGATATACACCTGAACATCAGCAGGAGAGGGACTCTTTAAAGTAGAGACACTACATACTGATATACACCTGAACATCAGCAGGAGTGGACTCTTTAAAGTAGAGACACTACATACTGATATACACCTGAACATCAGCAGGAGAGGACTCTTTAAAGTAGAGACACTACATACTGATATACACCTGAACATCAGCAGGAGAGGACTCTTTAAAGTAGAGACACTACATACTGATATACACCTGAACATCAGCAGGAGAGGACTCTTTAAAGTAGAGACACTACATACTGATATACACCTGAACATCAGCAGGAGAGGACTCTTTAAAGTAGAGACACTACATACTGATATAACACCTGAAACATCAGCAGGAGAGACTCTTTAAAGTAGAGACACTACATACTGATATACACCTGAACATCAGCAGGAGAGGACTCTTTAAAGTAGAGACACTACATAGCTGATATACACCTGAACATCAGCAGGAGAGGACTCTTTAAAGTAGAGACACTACTACGCTGATATACACCTGAACATCAGCAGGAGAGGACTCTTTAAAGTAGAGACACTACATACTGATATACACCTGAACATCAGCAGGAGAGGACTCTTTAAAGTAGAGACACTACATACTGATATACACCTGAACATCAGCAGGAGAGGACTCTTTAAAGTAGAGACACTACATACTGATGATATACACCTGAACATCATCAGGAGAGGACTCTTTAAAGTAGAGACACTACATACTGATATACACCTGAACATCAGCAGGAGAGGACTCTTTAAAGTAGAGACACTACATACTGATATACACCTGAACATTCAGCAGGAGAGGACTCTTTAAGTAGAGACACTACATACTGATATACACCTGAACATCAGCAGGAGAGGACTCTTAAAGTAGAGACACTACATACTGATATACACCTGAACATCAGCAGGAGAGGACTCTTAAAGTAGAGTAGAGACACTACATGCTGATATATAACCTGAACATCATCAGAGGAGGACTCTTTAAAGTAGAGACACTACACACTGATATACACCTGAACATCAGCAGGAGAGGACTCTTTAAAGCAGAGACACTACATACTGATATACACCTGAACATCAGCAGGAGAGGACTCTTTAAAGTAGAGACACTACATACTGATATACACCTGAACATCAGCAGGAGAGGACTCTTTAAAGTAGAGACACTACATACTGATATACACCTGAAAGTTAGCAGGAGAGGACTCTTTAAAGTAGAGACACTACATACTGATATACACCTGAACATCAGCAGGAGAGGACTCTTTAAAGTAGAGACACTACATACTGATATACACCTGAAAGTTAGCAGGAGAGGACTCTTTAAAGTAGAGACATACATACTGATACACCTGAACATCAGCAGGAGAGGACTCTTTAAAGTAGAGACACTACATACTGATATACACCTGAACATCAGCAGGAGAGCACTCTTTAAAGTAGAGACACTACATACTGATATACACCTGAACATCAGCAGGAGAGGACTCTTTAAAGTAGAGACACTACATACTGATATACACCTGAACATCAGCAGGAGAGGACTCTTTAAAGTAGAGACACTACATACTGATATACACCTGAACATCAGCAGGAGAGGACTCTTTAAAGTAGAGACACTACATACTGATATACACCTGAACATCAGCAGGAGAGGACTCTTTAAAGTAGAGACACTACATACTGATATACACCTGAACATCAGCAGGAGAGGGACTCTTTAAGTAGAGACACTACATACTGATATACACCTGAACATCAGCAGGAGAGCACTCTTTAAAGTAGAGACACTACATACTGATATACACCTGAACATCAGCAGGAGAGGACTCTTTAAAGTAGAGACACTACACGCTGATATACACCTGAACATCAGCAGGAGAGGACTCTTTAAAGTAGAGACACTACATACTGATATACACCTGAACATCAGCAGGAGAGGACTCTTTAAAGTAGAGACACTACATACTGATATACACCTGAACATCAGCAGGAGAGGACTCTTTAAAGTAGAGACACTACATACTGATATACACCTGAACATCATCAGGAGAGGACTCTTTAAAGTAGAGACACTACATACTGATATACACCTGAACATCAGCAGGAGAGGACTCTTTAAGTAGAGACACTACATACTGATATACACCTGAACATCAGCAGGAGAGGACTCTTTAAAGTAGAGACACTACATACTGATATACACCTGAACATCAGCAGGAGAGGACTCTTTAAAGTAGAGACACTACATACTGATATACACCTGAACATCAGCAGGAGAGGACTCTTTAAAGTAGAGACACTACATACTGATATACACCTGAACATCAGCAGGAGAGGACTCTTTAAAGTAGAGACACTACATACTGATATACACCTGAACATCAGCAGGAGAGGACTCTTAAAGTAGACACAAACCTGAAAGGAGACTCTTTAAAGTAGAGATGCTACATACTGATATACACCTGAACATCAGCAGGAGAGGACTCTTTAAAGTAGAGACACTACATACTGATATACACCTGAACATCAGCAGGAGAGGACTCTTTAAAGTAGAGACACTACATACTGATATATACACCTGAAAGTTAGCAGGAGAGGACTCTTTAAGTAGAGACGCTACATACTGATATACACCTGAACATCAGCAGGAGAGGACTCTTTAAAGTAGAGACACTACATACTGATATATACACCTGAAAGTTAGCAGGAGAGGACTCTTTAAAGTAGAGACACTACATACTGATATATACACCTGAAAGTTAGCAGGAGAGGACTCTTTAAAGTAGAGACACTACATACTGATATATACACCTGAAGTTAGCAGGAGAGGACTCCATTTAAATATTCTGTACTTAAATCCTTATTTTTACTCAACAAGATGATCTGAACACTTCCTCCACCACTTTAAACCACCAGTAGAAGTGGAAAAAATACCCCATCACATTTCCTGAGTCAAAGCATCTCCATTGTACATATTAACCGATGCAAAGCTAAATAACGTTTTGTGCTACATTTAAGAGGTCACTTATCCATATAGCACATCTCCCTGCAGCTTTGACCTTCTCTGCCTTGAGACACTTTCAATTAAGACTCAAAAGGGTAACGTGTCTGAGAGCAGTGAGAGGAAGCTTTAAAGAAAGGAACGAGGGCACGGCGTGGTAGAGATCGCACTGAATCAGTTTCTTTGTCGCCCCGCGGGCAGCCATAGTGCTCACAACTTGTGGGCAAAATAAACCGCCTGCTGCATATATGAAGAGAGGAGGTTGTGTCACTCGGAAAGAATGACGGACGCAGACACCACCGCGGGCTGAAAGAGCAACGTCACGGTCATCCTCTGATCGTACGGGAGAAAGTGTGTCTGGTGGGATTTTAATCATTATAGATACTTTATAACCGCTGAACAGATTTAACCACATTTTAACAGTAATATTCAGACTTCAACCGATTGTCACCAGATGTGTTTTGCTGTGTGTGTTGAAGCCCAGCTTCTGTTAACACGTGTTATTTTTCATCTCGTGATCTGAATTAAGGAGAGTTTGCGAAAAACTAAGTTAAAGCTGGGAGCTGTCTCAAAAGTGTATGAAAGACAATGACTTACTTCTGTTTGACTTGGTTGGTAGTATTCTCTTGTTTTTGCAATGACTGTTTATAAGTCAACTCGTTTATTTATCATAAAATAATCAGAGTATAGGGTAAAACATATTTAGGCGGAGGCGTGTGGCGCAGTGGGTTGTGCGTTGGTGTTCGGATCAGGGGGTCACAGGTTCAAACCCCACTGCATGTCGTTGTGTCCCTGAGACACTTCACCCCAAGTTGCTCCTGTGGGGATTGCCCACAGTATTGAGTATGTAAGTCGCTTTGGATTAGGGATGGGAACGATTAATCGAATATTCGAAATTATTCAGGTATTCGAATAATTATTCATGTGTTCGAATATGAGTTATGAATATTTTTATTAATTTCTTCTTTTGGGAGTGATGCCTAAGTTGATTACATATTATCAAATTGAATAATTCAATGTATACGACTGTGCCATAGCTATATGTGTTAGGTGACGTCTAAAGGTGTGTTTTGCCTCTCTCTCTCTCTCTCTCTCTCTCTCTCTCTCTCTCTACACATGAAAGCTGCAGGCCTATAGCTGTCAAACTGTGATCACCAGTTCAATACATTTGACAAATTCGACTTGGTTTCTACACTTATTTGAACATGTATGTATTTATTTCCAAAAATTATTGAAAAAAAATTGGTTAAAAAAAAAAAATTTTGCACATTTTTTTTTTATAGGATATGTAAATTTCAGTTAACCGGTTAACCGTTTTTTGGGGGGTCGAATATTCGAATATACTTTTGCTTTCAAATTCCCATCCCTACTTTGGATAAAAGCGTCTAACAAGTGAACCGTTCAGCACAAAAAATAAGGGGGTCGCTAAAATACTTAGTGCAGTTAGTGAGACCAACAATAAGTATAGTAAAGTATCCAAATACCAAAATGTGTGTGACATAGACAGAAGTATATATGTAGGTCAGAAAGAGAGTATCTTTACACGACTTGTGTGTAGACGTTGATGTCTCTGTCAGGAAGGTGCAATATCCTGAAATACCTAAAAGGACCACATTGTATATCCTGACATGTGTCTAACCTGCAGCACGTAGTCCAGCGCGAGGTGTCTGAAGCACTTCCTGGTGATGCTGAGCGTTCCGGTAGCTTCCTCCACCTCGTGAGGTTTGTTCCTCGGCGCCTGAGCATTCTTCACCTGAGCGATCTCCAGATCCTCACGCACGCGGTCAAAGTGCTTCTTCGTGTCCTTGAACTTACGAACATCCCTGTCAGAAGAGCGGATTTTAAAGCGAGACATTAGCAAACTCAAACTCAAAACAAACAGGATTACAGGTTTTTGGATATACCACAAAGTCAACGTGAGGTCACGCTGCATTGTTCATGAGCTTTTAGCACACCTGGGGTGCAAAAGGTTGTACTGTTTAATATTTAAAGACACCAAAAAGGTTTTCGGAGGTAACAAGGGTACATGTGCTCTTTTAAAGTTGCTAGTTCTTCTATTAAATCTTTAATACATCCCAAGGTACAGCAGGGATCTGAAGAAAGTGAAGTGTAGGTTTACTCACTCTTTCACAAAGTTCTGCAGCTGCTGCTTCACAGACCTCTGAGCCTGATCGAACAGGACCTGAAACAGAGGCAACAGAACACATTAGCATGGAGTTGAAAGACATGGCAAAAATGTCGTTACTTTTGCTTTGACTTTGTTACTAAGGATAAACAGTTTAGTTTTGTGGATTTATATATTCATATAACCAAGAGCTGAAACGATAAGTCGCTCAAGGGATAAATTATTCTCAAATATATTGTGGATAGGTTAATATAACGTGTGTGTGTGTGTGTGTGTGTGTGTGTGTGTGTGTGTATGTGTGTGTGGTGTGTGTGTATGTGTGTATGTGTGTGTATGTGTGTGTATGTGTGTGTGTGTGTGGTCTAGCATTACTATACTTGTGGGGACCTAAATCTGTTTACATAGTCACGTGTGGGGACTGGCTTCCCTTATGGGGACAAATTGGAGGTCCCCATGAGGGGGAATCATTAATTTTAGGGTGAAGACTTGGTTAGGGTTAGGGTAAGGTTAAGGGTTAGGGTTAGGCATGTGTTGGTTATGGTTAAGGTTAGGATAAGTCTCCAGGAAATGCCTGGAAGTCAATGTAATGTCCCCTGAAGTGATGTATACATGGCATGTGTGTGTGTGTGTGTGTGTGTGTGTGTGTGTGTGTGTGTGTGTGTGTGTGTGTGTGTGTGTGTGTGTGTGTGTGTGTTGTGTGTGTGTTGTGTGTGTGTGTGTGTGTGTGTGTGTGTGTGAAACATAAATGTTTTATATGACCTAGTGCTAGCTTCTTGAATATGAGGGTTTGCTACATTTCGTTATCTTATGTGTTAATGAACTAAATCACTTTAGCCTTTGGACTGTTTGTAAAAAAACAAGCAATTGAGTACACCTGGCTTTAGGAAATGGTTTTGATGAGTTTTTTTACATTTCCTGACATTTGATAGAGAAAATAATTGATAGGTTGATAACAAAAATAATTCCAGATCAAGCCATTATAAAAAAAAATCAGAATAAACAAATTAAAAAGCCTTAACTTAATGTAGAGTTTAGACTCTTTGGAGAGGCATAACTGCAGTATTTAACATGAATATCTTTGTACGTCTAGCACTCAAGTCAAATATCTAAAAAAGGTTTTCCATCTCTGACCAAGAAGTAGAGTATATACAAAAACAATTGGAAAATTCTTGTGTGACAAATAAAGACGTCGGACCCTAACTGTTGTTTGATTATTTGCTTACTACTATTAAAACCGATTCAGCGTGAAAGTAATTAAAAAGAATATATATTTTCTGCACAATCTCACACAATATGCCATTTCTCATCCAAAGTGACTTTTGGAGGGAAACCCACCTTCCCACCGTGTATTTCTGACCAACAGAGGGCGCCAAAGCACAAATGTTTTCCCATAATGCATGCATACGTTATAAATCAGCCTTTAATGCCTGTTAGAATGAATGCTGCAGGAATGTCTCTGACTAACTACACCGGCTGAGACACAAAACAACAACATTCAAGATCCTCCTCCTCTCGATTCACCCTCTGAACACATCCTCTGATCGCTGCTGCCGCTAAATAGGTCACTCGGGCAGAGAGGAAGTGAGAGAGAAGGAGGACAGCAGAGGAGAGGAGGGGAGGAGGCTTTTGGTCCAATGTGACACTGCAGAGTAGGGCTGCTCAATTAATCGTATTTTAATCGCGATTACGATTATGGCTTGCAACGATTACGAAAACAACGTAATCGAAATAAAACGATTTTTTTTTTTTTTTTTTTTGGTTTTTCAGTTGAGTTATTCTTAAAGTTCAGGGTAATCAACTGTTAAAAACATACTGTTCACATTTTTTTTCTCCAATAAATGGATGTTTTCAAAGTCAATGAATAATCACATTTAATAATCGCAATTACAATTATTGACGCAAATAATCGAGATTATGATTTTTGCCATAATCGAGCAGCTCTACTGCAGAGTCAATGCAGGGTTCAGAAATACTAAAACTGAGCAGCCTGATTGGTTAAAGGGGTTTGAGTCCTCATCCTGTCTGAATGATTGGATAATACAACAGTGTGTGTGGATTAGGAGATTTGCAAGGCTCTTTAAAACGAGGCTTATGGGTGTTTTAACTCTGGGGTTACAAGCACTGATGATGAGTAAGACCCTTTCCTTCAGTTGACTATGTAGGCGATGTGCCAGCATAATCTTTTTTTTTTTTAAATGACTTTGAGTTCAAAAATAAAAAGCGGCTGAGATAAAGTGGTCATCGTGTTACTGCCTATAAGAGACGCGTATGTTTTAATTTGGGGTTACGGCTTTATTTTACTGCTCTATAAACTCCAAATAAGAGTAAGTGTGAGAATAACGAAGCAGCCCTCCCATCCGGTCTGTTGATTCATCAGAAGCCCACTTCACTGCCTGTGAGAAACAACCAAAGGAATCCCTTCAGTGCTGCGTCACACTTTGCAAGCTGCATGTAACTAGCAGGTGATAAAAACTTTTGAGTGAAGTTAATTGAGTGCTTTTAACTACTTCCTGTCAGATTCCAAAGCCACATACTTGACTGCAAAGGGGTTGATGGTTCATGTTGGGTCAACAGGTTCTCCTGGCTGCACGATTTGGAAGAAAATCACTAATATTGCAATTGCGATTATATTAGCGTAGAAAGGGAACGATCAATTATGAAACATTATTCACATTACCATTGGAAAATATCATAAAATGATCCTAAATGTGATATTTTTAAGGATGATCTGTGCCAAACAAGTATTTTTGTGTGAAAAACGTTGCTTTTCTGCGGCATCGTAACACTTAATTCACAGATTTTTTCAAATATTTTGACTTAAACAAATATTGCGCTTTCTGCGATTTGGACATTGTACTAGTCCATATTGGCATTTCTTTATTTATAAATTGTAGATTAGTTGTGAAGCCCTAATGCAGTTTAAGAAGTGAGAAGTGGAGTCTTGTGCCATCAAGCATTTCCACGATGTGCAGAGGCCATAAACACTCGGGTGTAAGATCAGATTGGGCACCGTGCAGAAAGGACTGAAGTGTACGAGTCCATATTGCAATTTTGATAACATTTGGATTAATTGGTCAGCCCAAATGCAGTTTAAAAATCACGAGTGAGAAGTGGAGTCTTGTGCCATCGAGGATTCCCACCAACATTCGAGGACTCAGAAACAGAAGTGAGCAGAGGCCATAAACACCCGGATGTAAGATAAGTTCGGCACCGTGCAGACAGGATTGAGGTGAACAGAGTCAACCACAACCTTTAAGAGCAGTCGAGTCAACAAGCACACATCCATGTTGGCGAGTGTGTGTGTAATTGTGTGAGTGTGTGTGTGTGAGTGGTGGCAGGGAGAACTGCTGAGAGACTTCCTGGCTCGGGGGGAAGTGCAGCTTGAAGCATTCCTGAGCTGCTTTGAGGGAAGTTGACACCGTAGTTTCGTTTGACAAGATGCCAGAGGTCGTCTCTGATGGGAACTCGCCGGACTCCAGGACCAACAATAACCCATCCAAAGGAATATTAATGGATCTGATGGTGCAATCGTGTGTGAAATATCTAGGCTAATGTTGGAGGTATGGCAAAGAGATTAGGATATTCGTGGTCCCCAGAGGTTACTTCCCACTTAAATTATCATCATCAACAAAAAGCATAAACGTATCAGACACAGTTGTTAACAGGATACGTCCAAACTGAAGCTCTACTATAAGCCAATACAAACTTTCTGTTGCCCCCTTAAACTAATTATGTTGTTTGTTATTATTTTGAACACTGGATAGCGTATTGGTGCAACACGTGATGTGAGATGGCAGTGATTGAGGCCGTGACGAGCACCGTGTAGCCCTGCACTCACTGTCTTTGGTTGTAAATAAATAGCATTGCAAGTAAATAATGTTGTAGTCAGAGTGCATGCGTCCAGATTGTTTACCCAGTTTAGCAATCTATCAGTGATATTGAGAATAATCACCACACTTTCCACTTTCCTTTCAGTAGGTCCGTGTTTGGTCCTTTATTTTCTACGCCAAGAGGAACCACACAATAAGACACAAGTTACTTTCAATGGTTTGACACGCTAACAGACAGTGGTGGAAACGTTCCTTAAAAATGGACAAATCCAATAAAGGTTTAAGAATATCTTTTGAAACGCGGCTAAATGTCTGCATTATCATACTAGCATTCACAGATACACACACGCGGTATGTTTGGATGAGAACATGACAACTCCACGAGTACAACTGATGCTAACATAGCATTCATGTCTCTAGCTTCTGAAATGTGAACCTTTTCTAACGAGAAAAAGGGAACAACCTAAACCATGGTATTTTGGAAACAACTTTTTTCCAAATGAGATCCACACAGACCCCTCGACCCATAGCCAATGATAAAGGGCGGTTATATGTCATGGCCGTTAAGCTTGGCGCCCCAAATTAAGTTTGACTGGATAAAGATAACAGTATAATTTTTTGCAAGAACATACTTTTTATTTAAATAAATACAGATATTTAAGAGACAGGATTAGGCACATTGAATTATATCTTATAAAACAAATAGTAGTGAAGGCTTAATGTTATGAATGAGATTCCTATTTGTTTTGATTTTAAATCAAAGCTGATGACACATTATTTTTCTCATACTCAATAAAGAGGTCAACATTCAGTGTTTCTGGAATGTGGTGGAACAAAGAAAACTCTGTCCAACATGTGAGTGTGTAAGTGAGGAATATCTGTCTCATCTTCTGTGACCTGATATCAGAGCTGAGGAATGACACGGCAACAAACTCCCTCACAAAGCTCCACTGTACCGAAACCAGCTTCTGCTCCCATTCCTCAGACATGTCGGGACACACACTGATCTAATCCAACCAGTAGAGCAAATTATCTTCAGCCAAATCAGTGATCCATGCGCAAGAGTAAAGAACACAACTGTTAAATCTGAGAGGAAAACTGTTCCTGTTGTTGTTGTTGTTGTTAGACTTAGGCTTCATTCAGTCAGATAGGTTTCTAACCTTCAGAGCATCTCAACTAGCTGCACAATTCATCAAGCAGATGTGCTGCAATCTTCAAATAGCAGAA